GTTCGGGCAAGTTAGAAAGTTGTTGGTAATCTAGGTTATAACCTACTCAAAAGTCCCCGAATTAACCCTGTTATACATTTAATTAGGGCCATTCAAAGTCTGGAAGCTTTGGGCATAGAAATGATCTTGCTCTTTTTGTGTCCCTTTTGGAGTTGGCTGATGCAGCGGCTCTTTCCACCCTTTCCGCACAGGTGCAAGCAACGTGCGGCCCTCATTGTGTTTGCTTGGGAGCGGCCCCAACAAGTCTTTTGTGGAGAGCAACGGACAAGACTACATCGGTTTCGCAGCATGTAAGGTACTTCTGCTGGTTTTCATGGTCCGCTGTCAATTTCTTGGTTTTTTTTTTGTATCGTCTGCTATTCATCGCTCAACTCTCCAAAGCTTCTTTTTGGCCTCTCAGAGAGGCTGCGATGGACATGAATAGGCATTTGGGGACCCTTCTCATACATGTTCTTTCGGTTGAAAAAAACGTGGCACTGGTTTTGCAGTTTGGTTCTAATGATTTCTCAGCGGAGTTCATCCGTTTTCACGTCCAGGTGGTCTAAGGATATTGCTTGGGGCAGCCCTGGTGACACCCGCGGGAATCAACGAATTCTAGCGATAGTGCCTGGGTGCTTTGGTGCGTTTCCACTTAGCTCAACATCTGAGAGCTGGTCCCCGGAGTTCAGACTCGGTGGCTCATGAGTTGATGAAGGCTGCAGCCATTGTTCCATGAATCTGCCTAGGGTTCCGGCAACTGTAAGGGAAGGCGTTTCAAAGCTGAAATTGCTTTGACCTTGAATTTGCTAGTGCCCTATTTGCAATATTCAGGGAATCAAGAGTGCCCTGCGTCTAGCAGGAGGTCTTGGAAGATCGCCGACCCTCTGAATGGTGCTGGTCACGTCACGTCGGAACAACGACTCCGCTCAATTGAAGTCACTAGTGGCAGCGCTGGGGGGACATTGGGGGACTCACGAATGATTCAATGATGTTCTTATTTCCAGATTTTATCGTTTCAACTGTTAACTTCTTGCCTCTTTGCATTTCCAATATGTCCCGTGCAACCAGCAACAGCTAAGTTGTTGCAGGGTGTCTAGATCTGCCTGTGGTTTAATGAAAGTCGTGCCTTCTTTGGCGTGCTTGTCGGGTTTCCGGGACCTTATGCTTTTTTGGGCGGGGTCCAGAATTTTAAACTAAACATTGCCTACAACCACCTACAGACATCATTAGCGTTGGGAGGGGGAACGCCTCTAGCCCTCTAGTTTCTGAATGCGAGTACAATAATGTCTTCTTTTTCTTGATGCCCTCTGGTCTGCCAGACGTCAGCATCGCAAGTACGCTCGCTCAGGTCCGGCAAAAGCCTCTCAGCCTGCACTAGAGGGAGACAACCCAAGTGGCCAGTCCACAGTAACAGGCCCTGTCTGCTGTGAAATCAGCTTTGGCAACCATGTTCTGTGACCTAGGGTCATCCCCTTCTTTAGGTGGCAAAGTAGTCGAATTGCAAGGCTCAAGCTGTTCAACCGGCTTTGGGCGTTTGGGGTCGCCAAGCCTTGCACAAGTCAGTGCCGGAATTCACCATGTGAAGCAAGGGTGACCGCTGTCGCGTTTCGCACATCGCGCAACCTCAAAACGTGCAGTGTCGGAAGTTTAGGGATCGCGGCGAATTGTAGACTTTTCAACCACAGTCCATGTTTTCTGTTGTTCAGTGGCCTTCCCTTTTGTTTGGTGGCTTCCCCACTTTTAGTTCAACCCGAATTTTCGGGCCCCCTTTTTCTTCCGCATCACCGGGTTTTCGGGGGTTCCAAAAGCTGAACCTGTTCCCACGTTTGGACCAGTAAAACACCAGCTCTCCGGGTTGCGTCGGCCTGTCCCTGGCTTTTCCGCAAAGGGACCTTGAGCTCCCCGAAACTTGACCAGGCCCTTAGGTCTTAGCAAATCGGATTGCGTTTGTTTTTTTTTGGTGAGAGCTCCGGAATGGGTCCATATGAACCACTCTACTCTGGGGGCGGTAGTTGGACAGCGCGCTCGCGGATTTGAGGTGATACGGAGGCTGGGCCGGGCGGACACTGGGGGAGCGAGCCAGCGACGGGCACCTTGCTGTTGAATTGCCCTGGAAAATTCCGTGCCGTGTCTCAAAATAGGGGAGTGTGTTGGTTTCCTTGTGGTGTCCCTTTAAAACCACCCCAAAAAGGATACTATAAAAAAGCGTGACACCAAAACCAAGGGTACTCTTCCGTTTGGCTGGGTTAAAGGGAAACCAACACAACATAATCTATTTGACACAAACCCAGATAGAGGCACTTTAGCACGCGTTTTCGGTTGTAAACTTTTACTAGTTCCAAACCCGGTGAGCACACTCACCTCCGCGTCTCTGAGGGTAAGTGGGGCAACTTTGTCTTTTTCGTCCTCCTTGCGCTCTGAGCGGATCTCACACCGTTACAGCCGCAAAAAGTCAAATGTTGAACTAAGTCCTCCAGTAGAGAGGTTAGAATAAGGGTACCCTTTTTTCTGTAATCTATTTTGGCAGGGGAATCCTCCCAACCAAAAAGGGGGTGAGAAAGCGCACGGTGATGCCTTTTGCACGAGATGTCAATGTCCCTGCGAAAAACTTAGCAGCCTTGTCGACTGTTATTTGGGCGAAGGAATGAGTTTGCTTTTAGCATGTTGGTGGGGCAGATTGGGACTTTTGGCAGCCAATGAATAATCACTTGGGGTACGCCCTCGTGTTGTTGGTGAACTATGTTATCAACCATAACAATATTCCACCGAACACCCCTTACCCCCATTTCCCTAGAGCAACTCCCTTGAAAAGGTCAAGAGACAACCTCTCTTGTCTTTGTATTTGTGTCTTTGCTTGGCAGCCACACCTTTCATCGTCTAGCGCTGGTGTTTGTACCACGTTATTTTTGGGTCACACTGGTGTGTCATTTTGTCACCAAGCTTGTTCGATTTTTTGTGGTATAGACTTTCTGGGATCGCCCACAGGGTGTCGTCGAACCCTTTGAGTTGAAGATTTCTAGGGATTGAGATCTCGCTGGTAGTGTGTGTGGGAAGACCATTTCTTTTTTCACCAATCTTAGGACGCGAGAAATGCGTTCATGCCATACTGTGCATGGACAAAGTCCTGCACCACTTTGAAACCTTGGGAAACCTTTGTTTGTTGGTATTTACAGGTGAATGAATCATGTTTCCAGGGTTTCTTGGGTGGTGCGAAATGGATTTCGTCCATCCACGGTGATGTTGACCCAGGATTAATAAGCCCGTCCCATTAGGGGGGTGTTCCCTCCAAAAGTGGTCTGAATCCTCACTAAAAAAAGGGGACACCCCACTATTAATCAACCTTGGGTTTATTATTGTTATTCATCCGGGGTTAAGATTATGTAAAGGATTCAGAACCATGTAAAGGATTCAGAAGGCGGATATCCGCAGCTACTTATGGTTGGGATTGTCCATTACCAACCTTCATTTTCCCGGGTTTTGATTGTGGCTCAAGTGGATCAAGACCACTTCGGGATTTCAGGAGTCGCAGGACTCACGCAATTCCGCTCGCTTCGCCAGGGCCGTCCTCCTGGCTTCCCGTCGGGAGCCAGAGAAAAACGGGGGAGACAGGGGCTCAGGTCCTGCCGATGTGTCTGAGTTCGGGTTTCATGGTGCTTTGAGCGGCTTATGGACCCTCATGAGAGCTGACCAATATGTTTGTTTAAGAAGTCAGGCCTGATCGTGTTAGGATGGTTGCATGTTGATTTGCATAGGACTCTTAAAACAAAGCATCCTATCATTTTTGCTTTAGAGTTGCGTGTCAATTTGTGTAGGACGCTACTCTTGTAGGACGGGCTCTTCCCAGGTGAGGAACTGCCTTTGTAAATGTTCCTGCGCCCGAGTGAGCCTCTTTGCACCAAGAAACGAGTGTTACCGCTTCCGCTGGACGCTCGTATGGGGTTTCTAGCGTGGTCTTCAGCCGCAGCGAGCAGTGGCGCTATCAGCAGCATGGCTTGGGAGTATTTGGGTGTGGGCATTCTTGAGTTTTTTTTTGTTTTTTTTTAATGAAAGAGAAACTAGCAGGAAAGCCACAATTGTTGTTTCCCCCTATTTTGCCACATGCCCATTGTTTTCAAGCACCCAAGGTAAGGTCTAAAGAGGTGACTGACATTGAGGATTTTGAGGAACGCCTTTTGGGGAAGGCCCCGCAGAATTCAGCATTTAGTTTGCCGCGAGAGGGGTGACTCAGGAGAACCAACGTCCAACCAGTATTCAGAGGAGCATGCCTTAAGCATTTGCCCATACAAGCCTTGAACACAAAATAGTTCAAGTCATGCTTTGTTCAAGGATGCCCGAATATGCAACGAATGTCCCATAAGTTGCGAATGTCCACTTCTGAACCAATGTATGCATGTTCCCTTCTTGAAGCAGAGGGCCTAGTGCTCTTTGCCTAAGGTGGCCGTGCCACTGAGCATTGGACCCTCGATCAGGATCTAGTGGAAGTTTTTGGATCCAGGCGGGGTCTGGTTTTAGGAGCAAACCCCTCGGGGTTTGTTTTTGTATGGGGACTCCTCCGACTTTGGGTTGGTAACTGGACGCGAACTGGAAACCGCTGGCTTTGGGGCACCTCCCGTTTTGAGACGGGCCCATTTGTGTCGGGGTGACCCGTTCTTAGGGTAGCAATCATTCGTTGCATCCCAATTCAGATAGCAATTCCTAGGTCCGAATTCTTAGGTTATCTGTCGTTTGGTTTTTCACTTTTGTTGGGGTATTGGTTTTTAAAGAAAAACCTATGACTACCGGATTTTATTTTATTTTCCCTAGGGGACTTAAGCAAATCGAAGGATTGGTCCATTTGTTCCAGTGAATCTATGTGGGTAGGCCATGTTCTTCCATTCCCCTTGTTGGTTTCAAAGGGACTCCATCACTACTGGACAACTGTTTCTTCCTAGGGGACTTAAGCAGATGGAAGGATTGGCTGGTCTTGTTCCATTTGTTCCAGTGAATCTATGTGGCCCTATTGGAGATACCAGCTGATCCAGGCGCTCTGCCTGGTGGTTCTGTGGAGATCCTGGGCCCCACTCCTTGCTCTGCGCCCGGGGGGCCCAAAGAAAAGCGGCTCCGATTGGAGGGAAGCTGAAGCGAAGCACTTTGGAAGAGCTCTGATTTTTTGTATACACTCCCACCCATTAAGTGACAGGGGGGTCCTGAAAGACAAGTGTCCATTAAAAAAACAAAACAAAAAACTGTCAGGTTCTATGTTAACTAAAAACTCGAGCAAGGAACAAAGGGGAAGCACTTTGGAAGACCTGCCATGTTCTTGTTTACATAAAGATGGGTTGGTGGTATGTGAAATCCACAGCACTCGGTGGGTGGTCGGTTCAGACTACAAATCATGTGAATCCCACAGCATTACATACCCTCCCACCCATGAACGGGGGGGGGTCCTGAAAGACCATTTGTTTAAACAAAAAGGGCCCCCCTGTCAGGTTCTATGTTCGTTGGTGGGAGGGTAAACATGGCTTGTGTGGTCGGTTCACATGCAAAACATATCTGAAATCCACAGCACTCGGTGGCGAGATCAAGTTGGTTCCAGACCCTGGAAAATGGACTGTCTTCTAGCGGAACCGGAGCACAAGCATCCAGACAACCCGCACGAGGATTTATGGGAGTGCACGCAACAATGATCATCGCGGTTACGGACGCTCAATACCCAGATGACACTGGCAAAAACATGATTCACCTTTAGTGCTGGGTTTTGCTTATGACTCAGATAGATACCTTGAACGAGATGACCCAAGGATCTTGAAACACACGGTTTGTTCGGCATCCTTATGTGTACACACTGTTGAGCAGGGAACCTTAAAAGTCGTTGGCTGCATACATCACATGTATTTATGATGCACATAAGCAGTTCTCAGGGCGCATCCCATGTAAACATATCGTTGGCTCCAGCCCAGTGAATGGGTGCAGGGACTTCTTATGGCTATAACTGACACTCATGGCTTGCCGTCCTGTGTGCTAAAGATGGCATGTGTGTGTGTGGAAAATAGTGGTTTGGGGCTGGTTTGCGTGATGCAAAGGGAATCCCCCTTAAAGTGATGAAGTCATGGGAATTAACCACTTCAGTATCACAGATTTCGTGTTTGACTGGTACGATATCTTTCTCTTTGGCAGCTAAACTCACTTGATCGTCGACCTATCGACTTGGGTGTTAAGCAACAGCTTCACCGTTTCTCTTCTATGTCCAGATCCTTTGGGCAACTGAGTTAAGCACGGGGAGTTGTTTGCTTCGCCTCTAACTCCGTTTGGTCTCCAGTCCCATGGCATCCTTTCTTTGACTTTCTCTTGGCGGGCCTTAAGACTGTCTATGTTTGGGAAGGCTGCAAGGGGGGTTCTACCTTCCCTTCCACGAACATGGCACCTGACTGGGGTGCCATACTCGTGGGAGGAGGGGTACAAAACAGTACATAAAGGCTTCTTTCTCGGGGTAGTGGTTTGGGGGTAGTGTAGGAAGACAAGGAACTGATATGAATGCTGCCCCTCTCTGAGTGTGAGGCGCACGTTTTGCGACTTGAAGCCAGCTTTAGAACGAAGACCGTGGGGCACCCCTCTTTTGTTTGGACCAAATCACCCCGGTTGGACTTTCAGCCTTCACGATGGTAGCGCAGAGCATATTTAAGCTCTTTGGTTACTTTTCTCAAGGGTGCCCTTTCCAGCTTGGTTAAAAGGGAAATCAGCAGCAAACCGGACGCCATCTGTGGGGTGAAAATCCCAACTCTTTGACACCATGGCGATGAAGTTTGATAGGGAGTCCCCATGATTAACATGGAGCCTTTAATCACACCTTTTGCCAGGAATCTTTGTGCGACCTCCTTCCTTCCGTTAATTCGGGGAGTAAATGCCGGACGTGGTGAATTGCCTGGCCATAAAGAACCATATCCTCCAGCGGAAGGAATCCCCATTGACGTGGTTTCACAAAGACACACCATTTGTAGAGGAAACTACTCGGAAATGGACCCAATGCGTTCCTTCCGTTAATTTGGGAGTAAACCCTCCATCCCAAGTGGGTATTTTCTTCTGGAGGTGTGTTTGTTTTTGTTGGGGGGGTTGTTCTAAAGAGAAGCCAAAAGTAAACACCAGAAAACACATTTTATGAGGTCTCCTATTTTGAGACAACAGACACCATTTGTAGAGCAAACTCGGACGTTTGGGGAGTACATCCCGATGTCGGGGTTGCGCATTCTATTGGCGCCAACATGACCATGGGATTTGTGTTTCCAGTTAGTGGTTGATCCATCTTTGCCTGTGGTTTTCCAATGGCCATCACCGAGCTTTTGACTTGCTGCGAGAGATGGGAGCGAGAAATGGAATGACCCCGAAATAAACCATCCAACTGGTGGTTTCCTTGGGGACCAAAGCCTGGGTTCATTTTGACATTCCCTACTTATCGCACCAGCAAGAAAAGCTTTGGGGTAAACCCCCCTGCGGGGAATCACACCACCCCATCCCCTATTACTAAATTTGGTAGCAACAAACTTCAGAAGGCTTCACCAACTGGTTGGCTTGGTCAACTGGTGCTCAGCAAGTTGACCAACCCTCCAAGGGTACCTTTCCCATTCTTTCCAGTCCGAATCTTTCTAGAAAACCTCCGGAAACCCACGGAAAACGGATCCGGTTATTGAAAAGAACGATGGTTGAAAAGAATAAACAAAAAATCAACCCCTAAAAATGTGTCAAAATAGGGTTGATTTCCCCGCAAATTGTGGTTTTCGGTTTCCCCTAGCCCCAAAACGAGTGCCCTCCAACCCCACGTAGCTTGACATGTCCCAACTGAGTTTCCTACAGCCCCCACGGCTCGGCGTCTCGCAGTCGAGGTCTCGGCCATCGGCGCCTCTGCCCTGGGCCCAAAGCGAACGCGCGCGCGCGCGGTGGTTTGGGGAGCGCCGAAAGACACGTTTTTGGGCTATGGATCTTGTCGAGGAGACATGGGAAACAACTACTTAAGCATCAAAGCGGGGTCAAGACCATAGGTGTGCTTTTGATTGGTCTGTTTGGTTTAAAATAGAGGGATCCCACTGGTTTAGCGGTTGTATGCCATCCATTCACCAGGGAAACCCATCTTAAAGTTTCAGTCACTGCTGAGGTCATGATTTTGACCGTTTCTGGAGGTTATCTTAAAGTTGCAGTGGCTGAAACAATGAAGACCAACATGACACCTTGGTAAATGGAATCAAATACTAGAATTGCGGTTTGCCCTAGTTCTTAAGTTTTTGAGTAACACGCAGTGTGAGAAACTGGTTGGTGGTTTCCCTTTGACCTAATTACCAGTTCAAATTGACTTTGATAGTGGTGACCTCACTTGCCCAAAGCGAAGCGACCTGACATGACCCTTTGGTTTCCCTGATTTGTCCACCGTGTTAGTCATGGCCTCAAAGGTTAACCCTTAATTTATTCATGGGTCCTAGCAACTGATAGGTTTCGTACGTTTTTTGTGTGGGCGCCCCCCTCCCCCCCGGGCGCCCTTTTTCAGGCGGCACAAGAAGGGCGGGGCGGCACTAGGGTCTAAACAGAAACAGTTGCCAATTGTTTAAAGCAACCTCCTCCTTTCTGGGATGGAAGCTGAAAACACAAAGGGAAACGAGTGCTAAAGAAAAGGAACATCACAAACACAAAAACCTGAGCAGCTGAGAAAGAGGCTAAACTCCCTCGTCTAGAGATATGTCTTCGGTGATTTAGTGCAACCCCAAAGACGGCAACTTCCCATTCGAAATCGCCCAAAGTAGTCTTAGGTTTAGCCGCTCGCTCGCTCAGATGGAGGAGACCGAAATAAGCTTGGAACTTAATCGAATCAAGACTCTCAAAACATCAACCATCTCTGGGACATCACTTGGACTCTTTCAAGGTGAGTTTCCTCTGGTCGGTGATGGTGATGTTTCATGGGGTTTCCTGTCCTCCCAATGAACCTGGAACCTGACAGGGGGTCCCTTCAAAAGGAACATTGTCTCCAGGACCCCCCCCCTGTCAGGTTCCATCTTAATTGGTGGGATATATAGACAACCCTGTTGGCCCTCCCTTTCACAAGCATCCATGAACAGGGCAGTGCAAGCTTCAATGTGGCTATACTTCTATCACGAAAAGCCATCTGCTCTTCTCACCACGGGATCCAGGGCTAGCCCATGCTTTTCTGAGCATGTTATGCGTTTATGCAGCCACAGACAATATATTGATAGTCTAATATGAGACCCCACCCAAGAGAAGGGCTCCCCTCAAGGACGAGCTACCCGTTTTCGGTTTTCGGTTTATTTTCCTGGGGGCTGGGATGCTTTGCCCCACCATTGCCACGTACTCGGGGCTCGGAGGCTGACTCATGGGCTGCCTGGTGGCTATGTGGGGAGGGCCACACAACTTTCTTTATATGGCCCATGAATCATAAGAGTTGCAGCCGCCCCAAAAGTGAGACATGACTCCCAACCGAATTCTGATGTTTAAAGGGTCTCTTATTAAAGCTCATTGCCATATCAGCATACATGGCAGGGGGCTCGTTTTGCTGGTTCGAATATCAGGATAAGACAACTCGTCCGGGAAAGGCCTTTTAAGCAGTTTCTGTGGCACCATCACATTGCGCTGGATGGGTAAGCAGACTTCAAAAAGCGAGTGGCGCGACAGAGAATGTATCGATCCTTGGTACGTGATGGCTTCCATCAAAAACGCCGTTGTTGTTGTTTGTTTCCTTCGGTTTCAATGCGCAACCTGACCGTCGTTCCTGAAATTATCCTTTTGGGCGCGACTGTTTGCAAGTCCAAGAGTTGAGCCCAAGCTTGAATGCCTTTCGTTGTCTCCTTTTTTAAAACCTGTGACTTGGGGTTTGAGTGCTTCCCAACCAATCACACTTTCAGTGTTGAGACCTTTCAGACCAGTCCAGAATCCTTCTGGAAATGGGCGTGTCTTTTTGATGAGGGTATCAAAGGAAACGAAGAGGAAATCCCATGCTTGGGATCTCTTAAAGACACCCACATGAAAGGAGGCAAACACCTGCAAAAAAAGCTGAGCTCCGGCTCAACGAGTGAGGGAACCCTGACAAGAACTTCATCCCACTGCCGGGTTTCCTTTTTCTCTGGAAAGCAATGAAGCAAAGCAGCAAAAGAAGAAGATCAGCAGCAACGAGATGCAATCCTCGTCAAGTTTTCGACCAGTGCATACAGCACAATGGAGCCTCCGTCATGGTCACCGGACTGCGCCACCGCATCCCTTCCGCGCAGAGCTGCAATGCCGGAGAAAAAAAAAACTCCGGCGGGTGCCGGAAAAAAAAGAAAAAGAAAGCTCCGGCGGCTCAGAATCAGAGAAGTTCGCTGCAGACGAAGTGGAGACTGCGGCAGCCCATGGCCAACACAGCGGAGCAGGCGGCAACCAGACACAGCTGGCGATCGACGAGAGCTTGATAGACAAAATCCCACCGGCACTGGGTGTGTGTCAAAAAAGGGGGACCCCCAAAACGGCGCTGTTCTTCTTGGCTTCCCTTTAAACCACTCCCAGCAGGGTATCGTCCATTTGCCAAAAGCATCGAGTTTCCTCGACAAATGGGTGCTTGTTTTTAGGGTGGTTCCTTCCGTCAATCCGGGGAGTAAACATGGTTTACGACTTTATACCCACCTCCCCGAGTTTCTGAGCTTTAAACCTTTTGGGCGACCATCTCAGTGCTAAATTTGGGCGTGTCTCAAAATTAGGGACCCCATCCAAGTGGTTGGTTTGCTTTTGGCTCCCCAACCCCCCCCCCCCCCCATTTTGCCTATTAAAAACACTGCAAGGGCCCAATTTGGATGATGACAATCCTAAACAATGGTTGTTTAATGAACCCAATCATTTGTTTTTGTTTTAATCGTGGTACCTGATTCTCAAACAACAAGTTTGGTTTGTTGTTTGGATCCACTCCACTGTTTTTTTGTTTAATATATATATATATATATATGGCTATGGCTCAAAATTTAACTGGAGGGGTTACGCGGGGTTTTGTCCATGTTTCCACTTACCAAGGCGCCATTTGGTACCGGTATTTTGAGCCACAGCCATATATATATATACACATAAACACCGGGTGTTGTATTTTAAATAAAACCCGGGTTTTGTGATGAACACCCAATCCAATCCACTCGCTCGGAAGAACGCGTCCATGGCTTGCGTCTCCCACGTTCGAGGTATCACAGATGCCCACAGAGGCTCGGGTGGTGCCACTTCGCGGCAAGCTCCTTGGCTCCCAGTTGGCGGCTAGGTCCCCAGCTGACCTTCTCTCCACTTTCTTGGTTGGGAGGGCTCCCCTACTGAAATAGAGTACAGAAGAAAGTTGGTACCCTTATTCTAACCTCTCTCCTGGAGGAGCTAGGGTGAGTTTTCGTTGGGCGGCTCGGTCTCCCCAAAAGGTTGGCTGGTGCGATAGGGGGGTCGGAGAGTACTATGTAGGAAGGGAGGGGGATGGCAGCTTTTTGATCTTGCCTTTACTCCCCCAACCCCTTTAAACGCAGCTGACCGTGTCACACGCACGAGGCTCAGCGAAAGGAAAGGAAAGGGGGGTGGGTGGGTGGGCAGGGAATGAGAAATGGAATGAACCACTGAAAAACATCCAACTGTGTGGTTTCCTTTAAGGGGACGAAATCCTGGGTTCATTCCCTGTTTCCCTACTTATCGCGCCAGCCAGAAACGGTTGGTTGGTTCGATACGGAAGCCAGGAAGATGATCAGTTTGAAGGGACACCAAAGGAACCGATTCGTTTTTTTGTCGGGGTCCTCAACTTTAAGAAGCACCCAATATGAGCAGAGATGGCTGGTTTACGCAGGGACCTCCAACCGAGGCGCGGGAGGCCGAAAGCCGGGGGTTGCGAGCACCGGTTTCTATGGAGTTTTGGTTTTTGGACCCCGCTTGTAGCTGGTTTTAAAGGGAACACAGCGGCAATCCAAGAACTTGTAGGGGTCCCCCAGCTTCCCAAAGCCGTCTGAGCAATGCACAGTGTCGCAATCTGCGGAAGAAGGGAGCTGACACGGCTCAACATGCCATGAGGAAAGCGGAGGGGCGGGGGGGGGGGGTTCCTCACCAAACACCCGCGTCAATTCGGGGACAATGAATCGTACATGGAGTGGGATAGGGATCCCTCTTGAGTGGTTGGTGCAAAAAAGAATCGCTAGATCTCCACCAAACCCCCAATCCACGGTCTCCCACTTTGATTTCCTTCACAAGACGCATGGCTTCAGGGTGTCCCCTTTCTTCGGGCCAAGGTAAAAGATCCATCAGAACCCTTTCGATCGGAAGATCTCTTTCGAGCCTTTCGTTTGGACTGTTCGAAGGCAATGAATCCTTCATCCTTGCCTTCGGTTTCGCAAGGGGGTCGTTGTGAAAAGTGGCTTCCCTATTATGGAAAATTGGATTGGCCAGGCCTCCATTTTAAACATCCCAGTCAGTCGCTTTTGGCTTTTGCTCCGCCCCGTTGACCTTACGACCAACATCGGGCAAAGTTGAACACCTGAAAGCACAGCCATCTCAATAGGAAACCAATAAATCGCGCAAGTTGGTTTTGTTTCAGGTGCTTTTTGAAACAAAAGGTCCTTTCAGCCAAGGCTGATGCTGGGTCGCATGCACCAGAGCGGCCTCTTTGAGCATTTGCTCTCCAACGAGACGGCACAGAGGTGCGCAAATTGTTCTTGGTCGTGCAGGTTTCAAAGTGGCATAACTCGAAGCTCGCATCGGAGCAAACATGAGCCAATTCAAAAAGTTATCACAATTTGTGAGAGCTTGTTGAGTACTCGAAAGGACGGCAACAATATGCTTGCGCACCGCTTCGCTGGCTCTGGAGCGTATACTCCATTTGCAATCCAGCCAGTTGCCATGGTTTGTAGTGGAACCTTCGTCCCTTAGATCCGTTGGCATTTGTTGGGTGTCCAAACAGGCACAATGATTATATGGGTTGCTCCGGGTTGAAGCCCCCTTTTGGTTTTTGGGTTTCTTGCGGACCGCTTTGTGAACGCGTGCGCGTGTTTGGCCAAATAATCCATGCCACATATGCGCAAGCTGGAACGGTCGAAAAGCCAAGACTAGCATGATTGTCAACGTGTTCACCACATTGATGATGTGTTTTTCTGTCCATGGTGTCATCTCACATCACCTGCATGTTGGTGTCTGATATAAGTTCAACTACATCCACACACATTCATAGCAACGCTTGTCTACGCAAGTCAGCCTGCTGGTTGAGTTACTGGGGTGTCTTTTGTGAGGGTACGCCATTTTGGGGTTCCCCAAAACAAGACACCCATATGTGGTCCAATTGGAGCCAAGGCTCGCCAGAAATGAAAGCCGAGAGCCGAAATTGTTCCCAGGTCTTTGGGGGCACAGGGTCTTTTCAAAGGCTGATTCTATAGGTTCATATATGAACCCATGGTTTGGGGGCTAAATTCTCATGATTAAACCATAACGTTTAACTAACCCAGAAACTAGGAGTTCATACCAGGGGTTCATATCTGGACTTGTTCATTCAGCCTTTGGCGCAGCGGCTGCGAGGTATTTGTGCTGCGTTTCGCGGTCGCACCTCGAGATCGTGCCACAGTCTCGGGTGAGAACCCTCTGGGGCAAGAAACATGTGATTCAACTTCTGAATACTCAGACCGACAGATATTTGGCTGTGGGTCAAAACCAACGGTATCCCATTTTGGGGTAGGTGAATTTCACCACCCATGTTAGAACCTATTATTAGCGGTTGGATTGGGATGTTTACTTGGAGGTACGCTTTGGATTTTGAGAAGCCCATGGCCATATCCCATATACAAGCCTTTGCACTGGTAGAGCACATGCCATCTATACTTGGATATGGGTCAAAATCAAGCCACCAAAATCAATTTAACTTCTATTTGCAGCGGGTGTTGGCAACGTCCATGCGGAAAAAACAAAGACGGTCCTAAAAAACCGGAGGTGCTGATCGTAAGCCCCGCATGTTCGACAACACAGTTTTCAGTTGCCCAAAGCGAATCGACCTTTTGACCTTTTGGCTTTCCCATGTTGGTCCATTTTTAGTAGAGGTACCAAAAGGCTAACCTTTTAGTTCTGGGTCTTTTGGGCAACCGAGCATGGGTGTCTTACTTTTGAGGGTGTCCTTTTCAGGTTGGTTTAAAGACATGAAAGCCGCCATTTTGGGGGTCCTCTTGAACGAAAGGCCCACATGCGCGAGCAAGCCTAGCACAATGCGACCCTCACCTTCTGTACTGAATGAGGGTGGCTACTCCAAGAAAAGGGGGCAGCCCTTTTTTCAAGGTGTCATGTTTGGTGGTTTTGAAGGGAAACCACAAAGACCCACTGGCAGGTACATGCAAGTGAGCTAAACAGCACGGTTGCCCAGTTGATCCTTTGGCGTTTGATGATTTCCCTTCAAGCAAGACAATCATGGCTTGATTTGGCCTGCAACAAATGGGTGCGGGGTGTCAAACAGATGCCCGGCACGTTTGGTTGTGCTGCCTTTTAAAGGGGGTACCAGAAAGGACAACTCCCAAACTCTCTGATCGGGCAAACCTGTCCAGGCACATTGCATGCTTTTATTCGTGTTTCTTCACTTTGACCTCTTGAAGACCTTGAGGGCCTTTAGGGGGTAGACTAAATATGAAACACAATCTGAAGGTCGTATTTTCCTTGCACCCCACGGGCAAGTTAATGCCTTGTTTGGTTTCAATCGTTGCCCATTGACCATTGCAAATTGACCTTTTGACCTGGTAGTTGTCTGGTTGTTGGTTCGGTTTCGGTCAAGACCCAAACAAGTTGCTTTGGATTTTGAATTATTTTGACTTTCTTTGGACATGTCGACCATGCTGCCCCCACCACCGCAACCACGTGCAGGTGTTCTTTGGGGTATGCCACACTTATCCCCCAGGCCTGCTTCGCCAAAACAGACCCTGATGTATGAAGCCCGATGCTTCCAGGATTCTGGAGTCAAACACCCCAATGGTGTTTCCTCCCCCCAGAACAGGGCTGCATGAAAGAAGGAATTTTTAGAACACTTCTGTGATACCAGAGCTGTTCTCTCGCCGATGTCCCACGAGAGAATTGAGCAGGCAGCTCCAGCCCTGTCTGGGTAGGTGTCTGACCTCAAAAATGGTTGGCTTCCTTCTTTTGGTTCCACCTTCAACGCAGGCAACGAGACCACTCGGCGGTCCGGTCGGGCAGAAATCTCACCGAGGCCCAAAGGCGGCGGAGAGTTTGAGGCGCGCCGCGCTTCAGAAGCCCCCGTTAGACGGCTGGTGACACCCAAAAAGAGGCAAGGGGTCCCAGCACCCCGCAACTGCTGTTTTGTTTTCTACGTCCAAAATCGGTCCAACAAGCAGCAGCGGGTACTTGTCACTGTAATTCTTGAAGTGTGGTTCCCTTGCTTACAGACTTATTTACTCGATTTCTTTTTGGGATGGTCATCATTTTGCTGAGGTGACAAACCCATGTACTTTTTTTGTTGTGTTGTCATCATCTTACCAGGTTGTTTTTGGGGGATCAAAGTCAATAGTCCCACCACTTGGGAGAGGTTAATCTGAGATTGCAGATGCAAAGCAATTTAGGCTGCCGTTTTTGAGGGTTCCACACTTTTCAGGAAGGAAGCACCACCCGTTTCCTTTTTTTGGTGGGCTCCCCACAAAAAATGGCCACCCCAGACAGGAAGTGTGTGTTCCCTTTTTCTACCAGGGTCGCTGGTTGCAACTGGCCCCGAAGCTAGTCTTATCCATCCAAAAGCTCACGGGGTAGGGCTCGGAGTGGAGGCCCTGGGAGGTTGTCAGCCAACGTTGTAGCGCGCTCACTTTGCTTTGCTTGGCCGCTATCAGAAAGCCAAAAGAAAAGCATCAAAAAGAAGAATGCACGGTTCTCGGCTCATGTGTTTAAGTGGTTAAGGGTTTTTGTTTCTCGCTTCTTTGACTCTGGCGATTTTTGCATGGGGCTGAAAAAAGGACAGTTCTTGCCAACATACCAAGGGTTGGCGAGTAGGATTGGTGTGCCCTTGTTCAAGTCCTTTGTGGTGGCTGTCAGAGGTTCCAGTACATGTTCTTCACTTCGCAAAAGGCAGGGCTTCCCATGCTTCCCTCGAATATTTAGACGTAACATGTTGGCCAAATTGCAAGTAAGTCAGAACCATATTTTCGGAAAAAAAGAAGAAACACACTGAACAGACACAGATGGTTTGGTTCTGACCCACGTTTTGTCCAAGTGTTGGTAGCCTAAGGTATACAGGGTGGACTGAAAGGGGAGGAGGTGTTTCATCCAGGGTTAAGCGGCCCTTCGGAATGGAGGATGACAGACTATTTGGTCATGCATCATTTAACTGCAACCCGGTCACGTGCATCAACGGCTGAAAAGCAATCTCTGATTGGCGCAAGCTGCCTGGGTGAGGGGTCTTGATCTAAGAGGACCTCGGGCTTGCTTTGAGTTTTGTTTGTATTGGTTCTTTGATGGTTTGGTTTGGTGTGGTGTGGTTTGACTTGGCTTGCTTGCTTGCTCGCTGGCTGGCTTGCTTGCTTGCTTGGGTGCTTGCTTTCTTGTTGTGTGTGTGTGAGCGTGTGAGTGTGTGTGTGTGAGTGTTGTATGTGTGTGGTTGTTTCTTTTTTTGTTTGTTAGGTTGGTTGTTTGTTGGTTCGTTTCTGTGCCTGCTTGCTTGCCTGCCTGCCTGCCTGCTTGCTTGCTTGCCTGCTTGCTTGCTTGCTTGCTTGCTTGAGTGCTTGGGTGCTTGGGTGCTTGGGTGCTTGAGTGCTTGGGTGCTTGGGTGCTTCGGTGCTTGGGTTGGTTGATTGGTTGGTTGTTTGTTTGATTGACTTGCTCCTGCCAGTATATAGCTCCTTCTGCTTTCTTGGAATTCGTAGCAGGGTCAGGCAATGTTGTGTTTAATAAGGAACCAGCCTTTGGCCCCCCCCTTCACGTGGACACCCCAAGCAGCTAGTTCAATCAAAGTCGCTAAAAATGCGATGGCACTTTAGAACACTGGTTTAGACAGTTCAATCAATAGTTGCTAGAACAGTAGTTATCCCCGTTTTTTTCCGGACCCTAGTTGCGTAAACGTCATTAATAATTAGGTTGTTTTTTTAGAGGAAAGCCAAACAAAAGGGACCACCGCAGCCATTTTTCGATCTCCTTTCCCTCACCCGCGGGCTTGCGTCACAGCTTTCTTTCCAAAGGAAAGCCAGAACAAAGAGGACAACTGCAGCCATTTTTAGGGAAAGCCAAAACAAAGGACCCCCGCAGCCATTTTTCGGGGTCCTTTCCCTCACCACGTCACAGCTGCTTTTAAAGGAAAGCCAAAACAGCCTGGACCCCCGCGGAAAAAAATGGGGGGGTTGATGCGCACCTTCGGCTTCGGCTTGGAAGGTGACCAACCAGAGCGCCAACCCCATCGCCATCTCCGGGCCGAAGCTCGGCAAGGGCGAGGCGGCCATCCTCAGGCGATCGCGGCCGACCCGGCCGAAGAGACCTCGAATCGAGCGGGGGGAAACGGAAGCTGGGAAATGGGGAAGGTTTGGGCCTCAGGCGGGTTTGGGGGGGAGTGGGGTGGGCATGCAAAAAGGGGGCGTTGGGGGAAGGGGTTTTGGGGGGGTGTTTCTGCCTTGGTTGCAGGCTTTATTGCCAGGCGCTTTATCTAAAAGTATGTCACAGTTGCTGGACAAATAAATCTGTCACAGTTGCTGGACAAGTAAAGAGCGACTGGCGATCCAGGTGCTGCAAGTTTGTGCCCGAGCGACAAGCCACAGATTCGGGAGTGAAACGAGCGATTTACCCCTATGATGAAGGTTATTTACTTGGTGATTCCTTGTTTCCAATTTGTAAGTTATAGTAATTTGCCCAGGGGTTGTTTAACAAGGCTGCTAAATTGAAAAACAAAACATATTAGAGTCGTTGGGTATTAAACTGTGTTCTGTTAGTTCTGTTTACCTCAGCATGGGAGAATGAGACCCTCATAAATTTCGTTTCAGGAGTCCGTTTGAAAGAGAACCACTGGACAACTGCCCACGTTCAGGGTTCTATTTGAAGACTAATGTTGACCCCGGAAGAATGTTGACCCCAGTTTATTTGAATATGGGAGTGTTCCCCTAAAGTGGTCTGAATCCCCACTAAAACCGGGGAGAAGCACCCCATATGAATGCACCGGGGTCAACATTCATCCGGGGTCAACAAATTAACCCACGAGAGCCATGGAGCGCGAGACTCTGAGGGCTGGCGGAAATGGAAGCTTCTGATGGGGAAGCCTTGCTTGTGTCAGGTTGATAAAGGTTGTTTTTCCAGTTGCCCGTGTTTATTCAACACATGTGCAAGTGCCTTGTGGCGGGCCTTTTTTTGGTGGGGCTCCAAAAAACAACAGGGAACAGAGGGAGCATGAGTTTGAGGTTCCTTCGAATCTAACAAAAGGGTCTTTGCTTTGACCCTTTGTTCATGGTGAGATCTCTTTGTTCAAAGGTGTCCTTCAAATAGGTTCCATTTGTGTGTGTGTAGTTTTGATTTTTGATGAGTAAGAATCACTTAGCACATGGTTTGCCCCAATTGTGTCCAACCCATTTCCAACGAAATCTCCAGTTGTCAGCAGTACATATTGAGCTCGCGAACTGATTCCTGTCAAGGATCAGCCTTTCTCAGGTTATCCCCCCCATTGGTAGTTCGGATTGGTTTGGGGATTTGTCCCCCATGTTCTTTCTGAGGAAAAATGTGAAGCCACCCAAAGAGCAACCTCCGAACCCTCACTTGCCCGAAGCGAATCGGCCTTTTGACGTTCTAGCTCCTTTTTTTTTGAACCAGTGAACCCAAGAAGTCAGAGCCTTTTTCCTCAGGTTATCCCCCCTGTTGCTAGTTTGGATTGGCTTGGGAGATTCGACCCCCCTGTTGGTAGTTCGGATTGGGGGATTTGACCCCCCCGGTTCATGTTTTCTGGGTCCCGGCCGGCTTCTCCTTGTCCATTGTCAGCCCAAGTCGGAGCCTTTCCTTTCTCCGGGTCTTGGCTGAGAACCATCGACCTTGTTTTGACGTTTTGGTTGTCCCCTTGGCAACCCGTTTCTAAGTCCCCCAGCTGGTGCCCGTTCTTTAACCCCTTTTTTGGTTGGGAGGGTTCCCCTACTAAAATAGACTACAGAAAGAAGTTGGTACCAACTTATTCTAACCTCTCTACTGGAGGACCTAGATTTTTTGGGTGGCCCCAAAATTTATGCGCCTTTTTGTTGGGTCCAATCTGGCTGAGAGCCACCCAGCCCAAGCGGTTGGACGGTTAGACGTCAGAGGCCTGGCAGCTGCATCGACTTCATTGGCACTCACTCGGATGGCTCCGGCCAGACGGTGGCCGGGGGCCACTCACGAGTACCGTGGATAGGTCACCAGTCTTAGGCCTTGAAAGGTGGCTATTCACGGGGACCATGTCTACGGGCACGGAGTTTTGCTCATGGCACATGAATTTTAGTGGACATGTGATTTAGGGGTTTTTGTCCACAAAGTCACTCACTTTTTGAGTGGGTTCTGTAGAAAGCACAGCCGAAAGTGGTACTAGTAGGTGTATTTGTCCCAGGTTGCTTAAGCTACCCTTTGGCCTCATGGCTTAGTGGCTACTTCCCTTTGCTTACGAACATGTGTTATTTTGCTTTTTGGTTTTTAAGGGAATCTATCACTATTGGAAATCTCTTTTTTTTTCCAGGGGGCTTAAGCAAATGGAAGGCTAAAAGAGGTCAGTGTCGAACAAAGCTCATTTGGTGCCCTCCTTGGCTGATAAGGGCCTAGCTCGCTAGCCCGCTGGCCCGCTGGCCCACTGGCCTCAACCAAGGAAGGCCATCTGCATTTGAGGTGATATCGACAGGTGAGGCTTGCGATTTCGAGTTCACCTCACATTTGACCGCGTGGCAGCCTTTGTGTGTGTGTGTGTATGTAAAAACTGGGGACCCTTGCATATGGTTGCAGTCCTTTTCGTGTCCTTCTACACTACCCAAACCCATCCCCAAACCACCCCAAGACCACCCCAGAACCATACTGCTTGCCTTGCGAGTGTTGCAGACACCGATGTTTTTCTTTGAAAGTTTCGTGTTCGCCTCACATTTGCACAATTCACGCCAGGCGTTTATCTCATGGTCACGTGTTTGCTTTTTGTGCTGACACGAGCAACCGTGTGGCGGCCTCTGCGTGTGTATGTCAAAACTGGGGACCCTTGCATATGGTGTCCTTTTGGTGTCCTTCTACACTACCCAAACCCAGCCCAAACCACCCCAAGACTACCCCAAGACCAGCCCAAAACCATGCTAGCTTTCCTTTCTTGAAATTGGACGAAACCACATAAAGACATCGGGCACATGGCCCATGGCACTCGCAAGGTCTATTTGAAGTTGCAGCTGCAAGAGCAACCACGGCGCCTCCGGCGGCATTCTGTGACTTTGATCTGGCGCAGGGTCAAAAGGATCACTGACCCCCTATTAATCAACCCCAGATTATTAGTAGGGGGGTCAACCCCCGTGAACAATCCCCGCTAAAACCAGGGAGAAGCACCTCCATATTAATAAACATGGGTTTATTAATAGGGGGTGTTCATTACCATACATCTTTACCCTTGACCACTTGCTGATGCGATAGGCAGGGAATGAGAAATGGAATGACCCCCAAAAAAAACATCCAACTGGTGGTTTGCTTTCAGGCTAGCCAGGGTTCATTTCCACATTCCCTACTTATCGCACCAGCAAGACTAAGATGATGCTGGTGGAAACGATTGAACTCCTAGGTTCAAAGGCTCAGCGACTTTTGTGGTTTCCTCTTCTTTGTTTTTGCCAGAGGTGTCCTGAAACCGTGGCAGGTCTTCGGTTATATCTTATCCATTCTTATCCCGTACTTACAAGCACTTAGATGATTTGTTCGGGGACTCCTCAGGCTCAGTAATTGGTCAGTGTCGAAGGACCACGACTGCTTTGTTTGCCTAGTGTTGACAGTGCCATATGCATGCAAAGGCCACAACCGTTTGCTCTCAATCGCGCAGCACCGTTTTAACATAAGCGAAACTGTGGCCGTGGAAGCAACAAAAGCAACACATGGGTCTGTCCTTTAGGGGACCCAGAAACATGGTATATAGTTGTCCTTGTGGTTTTCTTTTCAAGCCACCAAACAAGGGCTATCCTCCAAAAAAGAGACACCCCTGTGCCCGCGGAAGCTTGTGAAAACCGTGTAGTAGAAACATGCAACCGTGGAATCTTTGTGGGCGCCGTGATTTGTGCACGGTAAAATGCTGAATCATGATTGAATCGACACATCGCAGGTTCCCTTGTATGCGGACGTTAACCTTTGGATCATAGTGGCATCAACGCATGGCAGATTCCTTGTCTGCGACCAGCAACATGAGTAGATATTGGTGGAATCAACATGACATGGTGGGAGACTCAAACCAGCGGGGGGGGGGGGGTTGTGAGGGGAGGTGCTGACAACCGCTTTTGGAGGCCTTCTCGAACGCGAATGTCCCTATAATTGTCGCTTTTGGGTGGGTATATGGCTGAATTTGCTCTTTTCGGGGTGATGTGTTCTGGAGAAATATAGCGACCACTGGAAATGACGAGGTTGTCTAAAGAAAATCACGTTTTTTGGGGCCAACCCAGGCCAAAACATGCCTTTCCCCCCCCCCCCGCGGACAACTATTGAACCAAGGAACCGCCCCTCATCCCCCCCCCCCCGCGGTTCTTGTGGTCAAAGGCCCTGAAGTTGTCGTTCAGGTTGGGGGAGCACAAGTGGCGAGTTGAATGGGAACGGGACCAAAAGAAAGGTGGCTCCCAGTCATCCCCTTAGCTTTTAGCCTTTGAGTGTTTAGTGGGGGGTTCCATTTAACCCACTAAAAGTTAAAATTTCAGCAGGGGATCTGAGGAATCTGAGGGCAGCCCAGAAAAGAAAGGTGATAAGTTGTTCGCTGTGACATTTGGAGCATACGCTCTCGACTCCGTTGATGAGGGTGGTTGGCAGAAAGAGGAGGGTTACTCTGCAGAGCTCACCTTGGGCAAAGCAAAGCGACCTCGGGTTCTGGTTTGCGAGTGCGGGCCACATGCTTCAGATTGGCGAGGTGTGAAATGGGTATGAATCAAAATTAAACCACCAAGGGACCGCAGGTTTTAGTCCATGTTTCCATTTACCAGGGTTCCATTTTGGGTACATATTTTTGACCCACGGCCTTGTGACATCGCCAAGATCCGTCTTCCCCTTTTAGCACCAGCACATTGAAGGAGCCCAGCGGCACAGGCGAACAACATATCGTCCTTGCCAGGACAGCATGGCACCTAGGGTCGTTTCCTCAGGAAGAAATGTGCCATCTTGGAATGATCAAGCAACTTGTAGTGCTGCGTGAATGTACATTTCACGACTTCTTCACTTTGAACATAGTTCAATTGTTGCCAGCACCCCCCCCAACAACTGCCTTTTTGGACAGCACTTGAGCCACAATCAAAACCCGGGTAGATGAAGGTTGGTAAGGGACAATCCCAACCATAAAGAGCTGCGGATATCCGCCTTCTTAATTCCTTACATGGTTCCGGGATTGTGACCATTCTAGTACCGGGTTTTGATTGTGACTCACTTGAGATTTGAGCATGGGAAGAAGCAGTTGGAGCTTGGGATCCCTCCCTGTCGCCGGTGCCAGGGTGCAGAGAAACACCTCGCAGGCCGGGTTTTTCGAGAATTGAGCGGCTGTTGCTTCGATCTGGGAGCCAGGGTTCCCTAGTGAAGGGTGGTTTAAGCATGATCTGTTGGTTCAAAAACCAACGTGAGTCTTCTTTGGCTTTGCAAAGCTGAGCAGCTCCACCCTTTGCGGTCATCGTTGCATAAGCTCTTTGCCCAGAAGGGTACCTCGCCTTTTGCTAGAGCGGGTTTTTATTCTTTCTTTCGGATGGATGGAACTTGTCAGGGGGAGTGTGCCTGTTGCGTGCCGAGGATCTGATTCCCCTTCCCCCCTTCCCCTAGCCCTGGGAAGGGGCTCGTTATTTCCGGGAGTTGGAGTGAGATGGCCCCGTCCGCTCAAACTCTTGAGCCGGAGCGCTCCGTCACTGGGTATACCAAAATGTGCCAAAATGGGTGGTTGTCCTTTGCTGCGCTTCAAACAAAACCCACAAAATGATACTCTCAAGAACAGATTATCAGATAGACCCGTGCCACGTCATGTGGACCACTGATTGGTCAGGGCTCCTTAAAAGATACCTTTTGCCCACTTGAAACATGGCTTTGTCCATCAAAATAAAGGGACACCACCATTTACAAAACAATGTTCAGGTGTATAATCTAAGGATCCCTGTTGGTCCGTGAATCATCGACTCACCTCGCCATGCGAAAACCGAAGCCGATCGCCTCCAGGGCTCTGAAAAGCCACCCACGGAACCTCTCCTGGAGGCGGGTGGGAGCTCAGGTTTGTCCAGTTGGGTCTGTGTTTTTGTAGGGGACCCCCCAAATGGTGGTTTTCCTTGTTTCTCTTCACACAAACAGGTGCCCTCAAAAAAAAAAGACATCCAGTTGTGGAAAGTGGGGGGGGTGTACAACCACTTTCTATGATACCAACAGCATCCCCTTGAAAGTGATGAAGTAGTCATGGGAATGATTGATCCATATTTGTATAGCAGGAGTGAATTTCCATGGCCAGAGCCATGGTCATGAGTCCCTGGACAGGAGATGCGAAGACACCCACGGGAAACGGGAAGGTGTTTTGAGAAGCATGCTTGAACACATGGGGAATCAACCCCTACATTTGGAAGCACTGCTCCCATAGGATATGTTGCAGCGAAACTCAGATTCGAGCCAGCCACAAGGCGATTTTCGTAGGGAACACTCATCTAGGTCCCCAGCTAGGTGCCCTTTCGCTTCCCTTTTTTGAGGGGTTCCCCTACTAAAATCGACGAAAAAGAAAAAAGTGGGTACCCTTATTCTAACCTCTCTACTCTACTGCTATTGGGTTGGGTCCTTAGACTTTAACTTTTTGGATATCCCTCATATTTCCTTTTTACCTGCAAAAAGTTTAAAACTTTTTGCTGGGGATCTACAGCACCCAAGTCTCCTGGAGGACCTAGTCATATCCTGGACCTTCCAACCAGCGGAGGCGCTAGGGGGTGCGGAGCAGAAGCGTCTGCTGCCCGCCTTCGAGGACGCAAGAGCAAAGGCGGGAGAGAATCAAGTCGCCTCCGGCAACCAGAGGTGTCCCTCTCCGGTTTTGAGGCAGTGGTTGCCTTGGTTCCCTACCATGCGCCCTAAAATAGAACATGCTTTTGAGGTTTTGAGAGAGGGACTCCAAAACTATGTGATATGTTTAGGGTAAATATGGAACAGAATCCTGTTACAGATGTGGGGCCAAGACGCCAGGCCAGGGTGAAAGCTTCAGACAGCGGTTGAATTGGTTTTCTACCATGGCATGACCCTAAAATAGAACATAGTGTTGGAGGAAACCCCATGATGGGCTCTCCTCCAACACTGCTTTACATTTTAGGGTAGACTAAGTATGAAACAGCTTCCCAACAGATGATGTTCAATGTTCTGTGTGGGGATGATGAAACGATAATGCCGGCATTGTGCCATCTACTTTAATGTGACTCTAGTGTGGGATCTAAGTCTATGATGTGTCGCGGATGCGGATACCCTTCTGTGTTGACGTGTTTCTTTGGTTTTTAAGTCTTTCAGAAGGAAAACCAACAGGCTCCATTGCCAGGTTGTTTTGGAGCACTTTGCATTTTCCTGGCATGTTTAACATGAGAGGTTTTGCATACGATCGGAAATATCGCAACAAGTTGTGACAGGCGCGACACTTTGGCCCGTTTTTGGTGGAGAGTGCTGCCTGCCTTCAGTCCTTGCTCCACGTTGCCACCTTCATTCCTGCAAGGTGTTGGGCTCCTCGCAATTGCTGAATGGTCTTCTCCAAAACCAGTTGTTTTTGGGAGGTGCATAGGAGGGCCGAGTGCAGCGCGGAGATGTAAACGACATGCTATGTCTTTGCGCTGTGTGTTTTCCCACTGAAGACCCAATCTTTGCAAAAAAAAAGTCATGCCAGATGCGATGAAAAGTCAGCCTTGACGTACTACACCTCGGCCATGGCGTTCAGCCCTTTGCCAAACTGAAGTCTCAAGCGTGGTGCGCGCCAATGGAAACCTTAACTTAGGACCGGGCAATCAGCAGGCAAAAAAGCGATCTAAGTTCTGCTTGGGCAAAGTAGAACGTGAATGACCGCAACCTCACAAAGCCCCTTCGCGAAGCTTCCTTTTTGTGGGGGTTGCCCTCATTTTTGGTTTGGGATTCACCCAGACATTTGGGTTTGCCTTTGTGTGATGGTACCCTGTTTGGCTGTTTGAACCACGCCCATGCTGCGAACTCCACCCCAAAAAAAACATGTGTGTGAAATTCTTGAAGTTGACCAATGGAGCGGTCTCTGCATTGTTCAAAGGCCAGAAGGCAAAACCATTGGCTCCACACCTTATCATGATGGTCCAGTGTCTAAAGGGAAACCTTTGTCAATCCTTTTGCAGATCACGCAACCCAAAAGCGAAACATTCGAAGAGTTTCACTCTATTACCAGAGAGTGTTTTCCCAGAGTGTCATAGAAAGCTCCTGAGTTCATTTGGGGTTTCCTCAAGATGGTCCGCTTTGTGGGCTGTTGTCCAAAAATAACACCACACATGGGGTGCCAAATCCTATTTTGACGGACACTTTTTGTACAGAATGCCCGTAGAAAAGTCCTGGAATTCATTTGGGTATGGGATTTTGAAACCACCAGGGGACCGCAGGTTTTAGTCCTTGGTTCCATTTACCAGGGTTCCATTTTGGGTACATAGTTTTGACCCACACCCATTTGGGGTGTCCTTCCACTCGTTCGAGTCATGTCCGGATGTTCTCTTACAGGCGCCTTTCTGGCTGCAGCTGGGCGGTACCGCAGTGCGCCAGGCAATCGAAACGAACTGATGGATTGCACCGGGCGGGGGGGGGAGGTTCCCCGAAACTGTGGGGGGGGAAAACGAGGAGTAGTCTTTTTGTTCGAGTTGGTGCCGCTCTGGCGGTTGCTGAGTTGCTTGTTGGTTCGGGAACCGAGGCGTGTCACATTTGGGGTAGCTTTTGTGGCTTTGAATCGTTGGTGGAGAGGGAAGCCAACGCCTTCTCTTTTGTTTGGGGGTGTTTGAGCCAGACCTGAGCTGGCTGCTTTTCAGCTAAGGTGTAGGGTTCCTTACACCCTTCCTTTGGGTGTCAATTGACATCGCTGTATCAATCTGGATGGAGACTGGAGACTGGCTTTGGAATGATGTTTAAATGAGCCACAATCAAAACCCGGGTAGATGAAGGTCAGTAAGGGGCAGTCCCAGCCAGAAATAGTTGCGGTCGCCTTCTTAATTCTTGAAGCATGGTTCTGGGTGGACCATTTTAATACGTTGTGATTGAGACTCAAATGGGCCACGGTTTTTGGGGCCTTGAGATCGGCTTCGACTTCAGTCCAGAAGACCCGAATCATTTCACCGGGTGTCAGGCATGAGGATTTGGGCCCATCAGTACCGGTCTATTGTTTTGTTTTGGGATAGTTCCACACGGCTTTTTTTTACAGAAATCAACGGACTCGCAAAGATTTCTATGTACTTTTGAGGGAAACAAGTGGGTGTGGGTCAAAAAAAAAGCTACCAAAAATAACGCTGGTGAGTGGAAGAGCAAGGACTCAATATCCTGGTGGCTTGATTTTGACCCATATCCAAGTATAGATGGCATGTGCTCTACCAGTGAAAAGGCTTGTATATGGGATATGGCCATGGGTCAAAATCCCGTACCCCCACTGAACATCCCAATCCCCACTAAAATAGACTAAAATGGGTGGTGAACCTACCCCAAAATGGTACCATTGGTTTTGACCCCCAGCCATGTGTGTTGGAGAGGACACCTGAAAAAGGAGGGCGACTTTTCAAAGCGAAGGCCTGAGCCCTTGCTCCAACGAAGGCTTTTTCACGACAAATAGGTTTTATGAACATTGGGTGAGAGGAGGAAGCACGATGGATAAGAAGCATGCGGACTTCTAGAGTGGACAGCATGTTGCTTCCAAGACCCCAGCAAGTCATTTTGCTGGTAAAACAGGTAAATTCAAGGAGCAAGCTGCCAATAGTGGCACTAGTCTGTGAGAAGAGGATCGGGTGGATGTTACACGAAGGTTGTCGACGTATTCCAGTTGGCATGTAAGGATTTTAGCGGCAGCTTCTGTGATTTGGAGGGGTTCAATCGTACGAAAAGTCAACATGGGCCCAATCCCCCTCCTCACTTCCTGAGTTTCTGGACTTTATACTTTGTGGGAAGACCATTAGTTGTAAATAGAAAGTTTGAGAACTTTTTTGGCCAGTCCACTCACTTGAGCCTAGGAGATTCCTTTCAAAAATGGAGCCGTGGTTTTGGGGAGTCCGTGTTAATCTCGAGCGCGAGGGCCCTTCAAGGAACCCCTGTCTGAGCACAGGCAACATGTGTCACGACTGTCACAGCCATTCCTGTGGGATACCAGTGGTGAACAACAGCGGTTTAAGCATGCCCAGTAATTCCATTTAGCTGTACAGTAGGTAACCAGGGAAACCACCCCTTCAAAAAAACCAGAAAGAAGACGGCTGGTTACCTACTATAGTGGCGAAACGCCTCGGATCCGCGCAAGCATGTGTAAACAAGGCAGGACATGTTTTCCGCCCCAATACTTTGCCAAAGTCCCAAAGTCACCCCTTCAATGGAAAGAGAAAAACAAGACACAACCCAAAAAAATCAAATGCAGACAAACAAAAACAAACAAAAAGCAACAGCAAAAACGACCACAAAAAGCAAATGCAGAAAAACCGCCTGCCAAAGTTCAATACCCCAAGCCCGAGCAGCGGACCCCAAGCCTTTGCTTGCGGCCAGGGCTTCTCCGAGGAGCAGCGCTTGCTGGAGGCCACCATGTGCGAGGGTGCGACCGTTTTGGGAGGGTCTGCGGGCCTTTCCGTTTTTTGTTGTTTGTTTGTTTGTTCTCTTTTGTTTCCTGCTTCTGTTTTTTTGTTTTGTTTTTTTTAGTTTTGTTTTTTTAGTTTTTGTTTTTTAGTTTTTGTTGTTTTTTTTGTTTTCCTGGGGATCGGGTTTGGACCAGCATGGGTGTGGGGTTTGTTCTGTTTCTATGGAGTACCATTGAAGGGGTGACTTTGTTGAAGGGCGACTTTGATGGTAAAGTATTGGGGGCAATATGTGTTGGGTTTTTGTTGGCCCTCCTTTAAACCAACCTGAGAAAAGACCGTCAACAATGTACACTTGGAACCCGGATCAGAATCAGGTCTAAACTTCTGGATCATGTTCCCATAGAAAACCCAGAGAGCCGCCGCGAGTGAAAATTAATTCACATCAGGGCCCTCCTGTTGGGCTTAATTTGAAGGGTGTAGCTCAAGCGTTCCGTTGCGCCTCGGGCACTTGATCCCTTACAATCGTAGCTCCTCGAGTGTCTAACTCCGAGCTTCCAGTTCCTCAATGGCAGTTCTGTTCTCAATGGACACCCAGTCCTGGCTCAAACAGGTCTCGCAGGATCACGGCTTCCGTTGCCTGCAATTCGCTCACTTTCCTGATCACAACTGCTAGCTTTGCGAGGCGCGGGTGTTGAGAAACCCATCGAGAATAAGAACAGGCCTGGAGCCCATCTCGCCATTTCGGTTCCTTCCAAACCCAACGCACCCCAAAGGCTCTGGGGCGGGGATTCCGGGGGCGTTCTGGAAGATCATTTGCCTCCGGCTCCAACATGGGACCTGTTCCACGTGCAGGGTACATTTTCGGGCAGATGGTTTCCGAGAACCATGGTCCAACCACGACCCTGGAGTTCCTTGCCCCCATCAAAAGAATGGCCCAAGGGGACCCAATTTGGATGACAACCCGGTAAATAATGGTGGTTATGTCAACCCCGCCATTGTTTCAATGGGATTGAACCAATAATGATATCGACCCAACCATTCTTTTGGTGGTTTGAACCCCAAGCATGACAACACTGTGAGATTGCCACTGAGCAAACCCAAGAAACACGAAGCAAACCTACGAAACCTTCACGAAGAAACCCTAAAGCTAAGGACCCCTAAGCAAGCCTAAGGGAACCTTAAGGCCTTTGAACAACCCCAGGCCTTCCCTCGCTTCAGCCTCCTTCCGAGCCCAAGCGCCGAGGGCACTCCGCAGGGCCTCATGGTGGGCCGGGTGCATCAGCAAGCTCTCCACCAGGAGGTGGGGCCTTTGCGCCTGGATGCGCCGATGAGCGTGACACATGTCTCAAGTGGGCGTGAGTTGTTGTTTTTTGGGAGACCGGGTACCCGTTAAAGGTTGGTTTGACGGGAAACCGAAGGGAACACCACAATTTTGTTGGGCCCGATGTGTTAACACACACCTGAATGGGTCAACCCTCAACATGGCTAGTCCATAGCTGTCCTGTTGTTTTTCTTCAAGCCAGCCCCACAAGTCAACATGCTGTTTTCCCATGATCATGATGTACACTCCTGTCCACTGACATGGAACCTGACTGCTGGGTGGAAGACTATTTTCCTTAAAATGACCGCCCGGTGAGTTCCATGTTAGTGGACAGGAGGGTAACGTGGCTGAATGACAGACTTTGAATGGGCAAGCATGCTGCCTTGAATGCGTGTTTTGGTTTTCACGAGGTCACCGATTGGGGGGGAAGGCAACCGGTTATGGCAGGGTAACCGCCAACCCATTTTGCATTTTTGGAAGTTTCCAAGTCAGACCTCGCTCCTGGAATGACGCCATCACCTGCAACGGACAACCTCTGTCGCCAGAGCTTTGCCCACCTCCCCCCGCCCGGCCAATCGACAGCGTGATCTTCTTACAACAGCGCATGTGCCTTTGCTTTTTCCACGCCTTTCGGGGAATATGCCACACTCGCACAGGGCTTGCAGGCAAATTGGTGCGTCATTTGTTGAGGCCGCACTTTTGGTGTGGCTGAATGTCCCGCATTTGGCGACTAAACTACCCACAGCCGAACCAAGCCCAGGTAGTTGTCTTTGGGACAAAGTCCCACTTGGCCGGGGCTTGGTCGGGAGGAGGGGGTTCAGCATATGGGTGTGGCTCAAAATTAAACCACCGGGGGACCACAGGTTTTAGTCCTTGGTTCCTTTTGCCAGGGTTCCAACCAACCAGGGTACCAATTTTTGACCCACAGCCATATGGGCTATGGGCAAGCCGGCCGTGGTTTTTCTCAAGGCCGAAGAACCGTTTCGGCAGGCGCTGCGAAAGGAGGTCCGGGAGTACCTGAGCCCGGGGCCCCTGGAAGCTTCGGCCCCGCCTGCTGTGGACTTTGAACTCTTGGGGTTTGGACCATAGTCTAGGTCAGCTAGGTGCCCGTTCTTGAACCCCTTTTTTGGTGGGGAGATTCGGTTCCCCTACTAAAATAGACGGCAGAAAAAAAGCAATCGGGTGGCCTCATTCTAACCTCTCTGCTGGAGGACCTAGTAGTGGTAAATAGACAGTTTGTGCACTTTTGTTTGACCAACCCACTCGAAAGTTTGAACTTGTTAAAAGGCCTCTCAGGAAGCCGTTTTTTTAATGGCACCTGACGTTCGTTTGGGGGGGGCCTGGTTTGGACCATTTTTCTTTTGAAGGGACCGGGTCCCGAACGTCAGGTTCCATGTAAAAAAGGTGGGAAGGTACTTGCAGTGTGTTTGGCTGCTGAATGTCGGACACCTGCACATCTATGGGTGCCTGTTGTTTGTTTGTACTTTTTTTGGGGGGCACCTGCATGGAAACGTGTTGTTTCTTTCTTTCTTTTAATATTTTTTTGGTTTTCCGGGCATCTAGAAAACCGAAGAGAAAACAAGAAGAAACACAAATCCGGCTCAGGTCGAAGCCAGTTCGGGCAAACGTCCGGCCGGGAGATTCACAATGATCGGGGCCAAGGTTTGGGACATCTGATGAACGAGGAAAATATATAATTCGACATGTGCTTGCATTTGCTCAGTTGTTGTTGTTTGGTTTTTTTCCCCTGTTGCTTGTCTTTTTCTCAGTTTTTCAGGGGACTCAAGATAATGGAAACACATCGATTAGGTGCTAGGATTGAACGTTGATCCAACATTTGGTCTGCAATTCTGCCTTCCCTTGGCCAAAGCCCGGGCACAAGTTGCAAGTAGTTGTTCGGCCGACTTCTGGGTCCCACCACCCACCCACCCAACCACCCAACTACCCAACCACCCAACCACCCACCCAACCACCCAACCACCCGAGCACCCAACCACTTCCCCAACCACTTCCCCAACCACTTCCCCAACCACTTACCCAACCACTTACCCAACCACTTACCCAACCACTCACCCAACCAGTCACCCAACCACTCACCCAACCGCTCACCCAACCACCCAACCACCCAAGCACCCAAGCAACCAACCAACCAACCAACCAACCAAGCAACCAACCAAGCAACCAACCAACCAAGCAACCAACCAACCAACCAACCAACCAACCAAGCAACCAAGCAACCAACCAACCAACAAACCAACCAACCACCCAACCACCCAACCAACCAACCAACCACCCAACCACCCAACCAACCAAGCAACCAAGCAACCAAGCAACCAAGCAACCAAGCAACCAAGCAACCAAGCAACCAAGCAACCAAGCAACCAAGCAAGCAAGCAAGCAAGCAAGCAACCAACCAACCAACCAACCAACCAACCAACCAACCAACCAACCAACCAACCACCAACCAACCAACCAACCAACCCAACCAACCAACCAACCAACCAACCAACCAACCAACCAACCAACCAACCAACCAACCAACCACCCAACCAACCAACCAACCAAGCAACCAAGCAACCAACCAACCACCAACCAACCAACCAACCAACCAACCAACCAACCAACCAACCAACCAACCAACCAACCAACCAACCAACCAACCAACCAACCAACCAACCAACCAACCAACCAACCAACCAACCAACCAACCAACCAACCAACCAACCAACCAACCAACCAACCAACCAACCAACCAACCAACCCGCCCCGACCTTGCACTTACGGGGCAAAGTTTGGCGAAGGTCGGGACCACTTCCGAATCGGCCGCGACGGAGACGGCCGCTACCACCTTGCCCCTTGTCTCAAGGTTGTGTGGGTGGGTGGGTGGGTGGGTGGGTGGGTGGGTGGGTGGGTGGGTGGGTGGGTGGGTGGGTGGGTGGGTGGGTGGGTGGGTGGTTGGGCGGGCGGGCGGGGGGTGGGGGTGGTTGGTTGGGTGGTTGGGTGGTTGGGTGATTGGGTGGTTGGTTGGTTGTGGAAACCCGAGTTTCAGAGGTTGATTGTCAGATCCCAAGCGGTTGGTGTCGAAACATCACTGACATAATTACGCAAAGCTTGTACCTTGGAGCAATTTTCATTGTACCAAGGGGTTCCCGCTGCAACGGCCATGGACAATGACTGCGGAAAGTTGGGTTTAGGTCGCCAGTCGGAAAGCAATCAACCGGGCCCTAGATTCCACCAGAACATGCGCTGGAGGGTGGCTTCCCGATTAAGAAAGGAATCAACCAACTGCGTTCATTTTAGCTTGTCCTCCCAAACAGGTAGTTGTGAGACACGCCTGTCTGCGCTACCGGCTTTCTACATGTGGAGGTCGAACTTGAAATAGCCGTACACCACTTCTATAGCACAACTTGTCTTTTGCATGTTAGAGCAAGGCTCAGTAAGCAATCACGGCTGGCCCTGCCTTTTCAGGCCTGCGGTGTGATCATTTTCGCCGATGTTTGTTATGTGGGAGTTATTCCTTGTAAGACACCCCGGGATCGAAGGAGCCAAAGGTGGGCCGGGCGTTTGATTCAGAGGTTTTGGTGTTCTTCAGGGTGTCGGGACGATCATTTTTATCCATTCCCATCAGCACTTTAAGGACCATCATTTTTAGTGTTTTAGTGTTTTTGATTAAGGTCGGGACTATCATGTTAATCAATTCCCATCAGCACTTTAGCACGAGTGCAGAGCCGACCCTTGAGTACAGACCCGGGAAACCAAAATGGCTTCCCTTTTGCTTGCCCGACCCGTCGGCAACAAGAGATGGCCCGAGAAGAACAACTGGTTTTCGTTTCGTACATCTTCTTGTCGGGCTATTTGCAATTGGGTTCTCCCTTTACCTCCCGAGGCACCCCTATATTTTAGGTCGCCCAAACAACCGTCCCACCAAACGTATTTTATCATCAAATTGCTTTGTGTGCTTATTTTGTTGAGGCTCCATTTCTTGTGCTTGGTTTCAACGGGAGAACGAAAGACCACCGTTTTTGCGGGTCCCCCTGAATTTTGTCACAGGGTCGCATCTTCGTGGGTTTGAATTTAGATATCCTATATTTTGTTTTTTATATACTTATATATTCATTTGATACCCAGATCAAAATAATATTTGTTAAAAGGGTCAATATTTCAAATACAGTTTGCATTGTAATCAAGAGTGAGAACATTCTCATTGTGAATATGGGCCACTTTTTCAGAGTGTCTTTTTCAGGTGGCCCTGAGCTCCAACCCCATCTGGCGGGACCGCAAGGGTCAGCGCCGGGAGCTGGAAAAAGGCGGGGTCCGGGAGCGGTCGAGTCGCTGGAGTGGGTCAGATTCCGGTTTGTCGGATTGGCGCCGATTTCTTGTACAACAACAATGCGCTGATTTGTTAGAACCCTCCAGGTCCTTTTTGGGTGGGTTCCCCAGAAGTGGAAGCAACCCATCCGTGCCCTTCCGGGTCTGTGGCTACTGACAGTGGAGGGGGGAGGGGGCTGGATGGGCGGGTTTGCAAATTTTGCGCTGTTGCTGAGTTAGTTTGTTGCTGGAACTTTGGGAGGCACAGGGGTGACCCTCCCAATTGAGGAACCTGGCTCCTTGGGGATTCAGTTGAGACAACCGATATGTTGCAAGCCAAGGCCAAAAGTTGTCCTCTAAGAAGACCCGATATGTGTGTGGGTCCAAACCTTCTGTTCCGATTTCAGCTGATTTGCCTGGGCTAACTTTTGGTAACAGACAAGATTACCCATTGCCGTCCATTTTTCTGTATCACAGGCACCTTGGAAACCACTATAACAAAGCCAAAAACACCATGGAGGGCTACCTACTATACATCGTATGTGTTAGGGTTGAACATTGACTTGCATCCCGTGAACATCATGAAAGGAAGTTTTAAGCTCCCAGAAGCACGCTGAACCCAGCGCCCCCGAACCCATCTCACGAGATGGGATCGAGGGCACATTCCATGGGGAACATCCACCGAACCGCACCAGTTAGGTTTTTGTAAACTGTGCCAACACCTGTGAACGGCTGGCATTAATCACCTACAGGTACAACGAACATTTTGTCGATTGACCGCAGGGGAACTGACTTTGGCATCCACTTGCCTAGTGTTGGGTATAAGTCAAAATCGGGAAACCCGCAAAATGATGGGGCTCCTGATACTGTGGATGGACGAAATCCATTTCGCACCACTTGGAAAACATGGGAACCCCTGTTTGTTGGTATTCTCAGGGGAATCATCATTTCAGGGTTTCTTAGGTGGTGCGAAGTGGATTTTGTCCATCCACAGTATTTCCCGTTTTTTACCCAAAAAGTCCCCCCTCGTCGTGGGACATGGGGCTTTGCGGCCCTGAGAGGAACTGGTGGTGCGATGCCCAATGCCCCGTTTTTTTCTTTTCTTTTTTATTCCTTTTCTGTTTTTCCTGTTTTGGAGGGGGTGTCCCTTTAAAATCACTTAAGAAACCAATAACCAATCAAAGGAACAAAGAAACAAGAAAGCTGTTTCCTTTCTTCTTCCATGGAAATTCACTGTGCTTCTGGTTATCAAATTGCTGGGATTGGCAAACAACCCGCTTGCCAAGCAAGCTGGGGCGGACCATCCCATCATATCTTCTTCGACGGCTGGAACGCAAGTGTTAAGTGGGAACCCCATGGCTTCTTTAGCAGGGCTCCTTAAAAGAAACTCATTTTGCAACCATTTGACACATGTCTGGCTTTTTCTCCACCAAATTAAATGGAAACCACCATTTACAAGTTGCAATGTTCAGGTGTTTTTCGTGTAAGGATCCCTGCTTAGGTTTGTATCTTGAAGGCCCAAAAGGCCTCCAAGGCGAACGGAATCAAGCGGAATGAGGCTGCATTCTGCGAGAGGCAAGCACGAAAAGGGGAAAACCGGACGCTTTCTGCGGCTTTCAGCGGCTTTCAGCGGCTTGTACGCCGTTTTCCTGTATTGCGGCAGGTGAAGTTGCGAACATGGCGATGGAGTCACATTGGGCCCCAAAATTCCAACAGGGAACCAGTTGAAGACCCTACAATCCGTGGTTTCTGGGAGAAGCACGCGGGGTTTGTGATTTTGCAATCGCATTGGCCGAGGTTCCTGTCATAAAAGCCCCTTTTGGGGATTCTTGCGTTGTGCTTGTTGGGTCGCCTGGGTTCATTGCACTGATTGTGCCTTACTATCAAAGTTTGAGACTCTTCAACTCACCACTTCCGGGGGTGACTTGGTAAAATCAAGGTGGCAGCTCATTCTTCAAAATCTAGACCGCATTTTGTGCATCTGTGAGACGCAACTTGATGGTATACTTGCATTGTTCGTGGGCAAGTCCACCACTTGCGCAGGGGACCCGCCTTTGTCCCTGCTGCACGGGGATGAGATCTTGCTCTTCACTGGCGCGGCGGAGCGAACCGGGGGGTTGGACGGGGGCGGACGACTTCTTTATATGTAGCGATTTCAATATCTAGGTCCCCCAGTAGTGCGCTTTCTCACCCCTTTTTTGGGGGAGGGTTCCCTACTAAAATAGACTACAGCAAAAAGGGTACCCTTATTCTAACCTCTCTACTGGAGGACCTAGATACGGAACCACCGATTGGCTGATGGATGTGAAACCCCACCGAAGTGAAGTCCACCAAAGGGTCCCTGTTTTAAAAATCATGCCCATGTGTGTTTGTGTGTGTAATTGTGTGTGTGTGTGTGTCCGTGTGTGTGTGTGTCTCCGCGTGTCTGTGTCCTGTGTCTGTGTGTGTGCGTGTCCGTGCGTCTCTGTGTCTCTGTGTCTTGTGTGTCTCGGAGCGCCGATCCGCTCAAATGGGCAGGTGAAACTGTAAGACCACGGGCGAAACACCTGGAGTGAGCCGGGTTGGATGAAACAAGAGGCTGTGTTGTCTTGAGGGTACCCCTTGAGGTTTATTTGAAGGGAAATCAAAAGCAACACTGGCTAGGGCCCATGAAAAGAAAGGTTGACGCAATTTGGATGATGACAATTCTTAGGTAAACAATGGTGGTCATATGAACCCCCTGGTTTTAATGGTGGTTTGAACCCCAGGGTTCCTATGGCCTGTTTTGGAGCGCGGCGAGGATTGCACTCCAGACGGGCCCGAGAATTTGGGCACCTTGAAGTGGCCGCCGTCCCAGAGGGCGACGGCTCCTTCTTGTCGCTGGGTACGGGTTGCAGGCTCAAAGGCGAAACATAGGTCTGTCTTTTGTTGAGGGTGCCCTTTGTTTGAGGTTTTAAAAGAAAAACACAGGAACACACCGTTTTTGCGAAGTCCAATCCTCAAAAAAACGCACTTATTCTTGGTCACGAGAAAGAAGCAACCATAGGCAGGCAAACCAACTTGGAAGGGGCCAACCTGTAAGAATCTAGTCCCGCAGTTAGGACGATCAAATTGGTTTGCAAGTGCCCTGACAAACCAATTTTGTGTTGCCCTTTTCAAAGGAAGTTTAGAAGGAGCTTCCGTAGTACAGAAACTAATTGAAAGGTAGCTTGCGCAGATAGATACAATCAGAAGATCAGAGGCTTGTGAGAAAAGATAGCTCTTGCAGATAGTTGTAGATGACCAGATAGTGCATGCGGAGAGAAGCTCCTGCAGAGAGTTAGCGCGCAGATAAGATGAAGAAAGAATGAGCTGTCTTCTTGTTGTGTTGGTGGCCTGGTTACTCTGGACGTAGACGTTGGAGCGTCAACGCTTGTTGGTTGTGCTTTTTGCACTTTAGGTCTCTAAACTTTCTGCGAGGAGCCGTTGGGCAAGCGATGTCCTTGTTGTGCGGTTGGTTGTCTTTCGGGTTGTTTTGTTATTGTAGTTTTGTCTGTGATCCTTTGTGTAGGATTCATCTTTCTCCCGAACTTAGTTTCACCTGCCTCGTCACCAGGAAGTCTTCCGTGTACTTCGCTCTTGGAGGGTTGGCTCACGTTGTTTTGTGGTATCTCCGGTTCTGCTCCTTGCCTCACGACTGTAGTTTGTCTCCCGCCGTCCAGTTGTTCTGCACGCGCTGGGCGTCCGGAACTAGTCTGGTGCAAACAGCGCTTTTCGTGGCCGTTTGTGTACTCGGATGCTGTAGTCACCATCGCGTTGCCAGTATTGGGTGAGTTAGTGGTGATTGCGTTGGCGAGTTGTTGGTTGTAGTGATGAATTGTGTAAAAGCTTCCGTGGCTCTATCTTCACTCTCGACCGGCGTTGTCGTTCATAATCGGATGCAGGTCATGTTGGTGGCCAAGCAGGAGAGTCCTCTTTTGGCGAGAAAGGGGCGCTGAATTATCACCATGTCGACTTTGGTCTTTGAAGAAAGAGAAAGATAATGAGAATTAGAAAGAGAACGAGAAAGAAAGATAAAATAAAGAGAACAAGAAAGAAAGATAAAATAAAGAGACAATGAGAAAGACAAGAGAAAGAGAAAGACAAGAGAAAGGCAAGTAAAAGAGATAATAAAAATCACCACGTATAGTTTACATTTCTAGAAGCTTCCGACCACCGGCTTCGCCAGCTCTATGTTGTTCAAGGGTTGCTTCAAGTCGGGGGTGCTCACTCACGAGCAAAGTGCTCCTCAAACATTTGGGCAGACGGCTGTGGCAATCTTTTGGTTGCTTGGTCTTGTCAGCAGCGTCCAGAGGCCATCTCTTGCCCTGCGGCAAGGTTCACAAACCTAGCAGCAAACAGTGCCAGCCCAACGCAGAGCTGGACAGATGCTTCACGCCCACCAGAAGCGCAGCCCGCGATATCGTTGCCCGCGTAGCGTGGCATTTGATAGAAGCAGATCCCGATGGCCGCAGGTGCCGCCGCAACTCAAGCACCAAGAGCAGAGCCCGGCAGGGGAGGTCAGCGAGTCCAAGACAGAGGCTAGCTGAAGCCCGTTGACTCGATGTCAGACAGCGATGCCCACCACCTTCTGTTTGGGGCTCCTGAGAAGAGGCGACTGCAGATGAAGGTGGTGGCCGCATCTGTCGCTCGTTGCTGTTCGACTTAGGATAGCCCCAGAAAATTCCAGGTTCCCAGGTTCCCAGTAGCTCGTTTGCGCTTGTAATGCCCCCTAATTGTGCGCTGTTACTACGCAGCACTTGTTGCGCTGTTGACGCCCGCATAAGCTTCCGCCGTTACCACCTGCCTACTTTTCCTCTGTTACTGCGCGGTCTCAAAACCAGCTCGTTTTGAACATGACCCAACCTTTTGGCATTCAAACGGAAACCAAGGGGCAACCAACCAGAGTGTACCTCTTGTTTTTTGCTTTTAACGGGAAACCAAACTGAAAACCAAAGCCATTTTGAGGGGTCCGATTGCTTCGGGCGCCGATTCCTATTTTGAGAACCCACGCCTGGGGGGCTTCGGCACGAGTTGAGGCGCTTCTTCCAAGCCGATAATTCCAGAGCCGGGCAGCTCAAAAAACCGTCGTTAGCTAGCGGCTTGCTCCGGGGCACTTTGCTTGGAAGCGCATACTGTGTTTCTAGGCAAATATGCTTTGTGCTCACTGTGGGAAATATGTTTGTGATTGTTTACAGGCAAAATTGCAAGTCAGTGACAATAATACTTGTTGCATTTTATGTTTGGCATTTTGCTTGTAGGATCTAGTTTTCATATTTGTGGGGTCAAGAGAGCTGGAGGTGTCTGATATTTTTGGGCTGCAGCCGGGGCCAATTGAGCGCAGCACTGTTGCAATCACTCGAAGTGACCCAGACGCCCAGCATCCTTTGCTCCTTTGTTTTGAGGGGTTCCCTTTTAAAATCAGCCGACCAAGGGTGCGGGTGGGTAAAAGTGAGCGGACATTCGCAAGCAAGAGGGGTGCAGCCGCTTTGGATGGTCATGACACGGCGACCACTTCAATACAGTACCAGGTGTTCAGTTTGATTCGAGTGGACACAACCATTACTTGGGGTCACCAATGGCCACGAATCCTTCGGGTTTGAGCAACCACTGTGAGAATCCCTACGCGTGCAATGTGTCTTGTGCAATACGGAATGGAGGATCTACATTGAAACCACATGTTGGTGGCTGGTAGTCCTCTTAGTATGTGTTCAGTATGTATGCAGATTGTATATGCATAAGCAAACTACTTTACACTCGTTGCGCAGTGTTATGACTGTATTCATGTGTGTGTGTGTTCATGTGTAACATGTGTATATCATGTTAGATGCATTTGCATTTAGGCACACGTACGTGGTGAGAAGGATTTGCAGATGTGTGTGCGTGTGTAAATGTACATTTATACATGATCATGTTAATATACTATTGGTAATAATGTGTATATATACATATATATATATATATATATATCTACACGTATATGTAGGTGTACGTCTATATTCACACGGCAAGAGACATGTATACACCTGCATGCAGAAATTGTAGCTAAATATATAATGATGACATGTTTTTCCTTTTATGGGCTTGGCTGTGGGGGCAGGGAACAGTTTTGTTGGTGGCTCCCCCACAGAAACAACGATGTCGCAAGGCGGACCTGCCAGAATCGCACGCTTCTTCCGGTAGGTTGATCGCAGCAGCTCCCGGAAGGTCCAGGGAAAGTGGATTTCGAGATTCAAGGCGTTTTTGTCTGCAAACATGCTGTGGATGGACAAAATCCTGCACCACTTTGAAACCATGGGAAACCATGATTTGCCGGTATTTACAGGGGAATGCTCATTCCAGGGTCTCTTAGGTGGTGCGAAATGGATTTCGCAACCATCCACAGTGGCTTTGAGGCGTCTCACTTTGACGACCATGGACATTGTTTTGCGTGGTGAGGATCCCATTGTGGACAACGACACCGTGAGAAATGTCGGCAGGCCTGGATGCCAAAGGAGAGTGCACGTTTCTGTGTGTGTGTGGGAATATGGATGTTCCGAAGAGAGAAAAGCATGGGGGGCCTCTTTTGTGAAGGAGGCAGCCCATATGTGTGTGTGTGTGTGTGTTTTTTTTTGGGGGGGACCCTCCAAAATGGTTGGTTTCCTTTTGGTCCCCGTTGTTCAACCAAGTTCAAAATGGGGGGTACCGTCAAAACAGAAAACGAGCCACCCATATGGCTGTGGCTCAAAAATCCGGAATTCCAGCATGGAACCCTGGTAAGTGGAAACATGGACCAACACCTGCGTAACCCCTCAGCCATATTTGCTCGTTTGAGCCATCAACATCACTTGGGCGGCCTGTCTCTTGACAGGCCGAAGCCTCGTGACCGCAGCCCGGCCAACGGGAGGCGAGCTCGGGCAGTTCTGGGTCGGGGTCGGGGCTGGCCTAAAAAAGGACCGCCTCTTGGAACATGCCCCAAGAAACAGCCGTTTTTTTCTCCCAAACAAAGAAGCTCCCTCCTAAGTGGGTATGGGTCAAAACTAAACCACCAGGAATTGGACCGCAGGCGGTTTTAGTCCATGTTTCAATTTACCAAGGTTCCATCCTGGGTACCTATTTTTGACCCACAGCCAAGAAGGGATTGTTTGGTGGGTTGCATGTTCACTTGCAGGTGAGTAACAGGGGTTATCAAAATGAATGGTATGCGGCCTTGCCTTTGTTGTATTGGTCTCCCAGGACGAATTGCGGATATGGGCCAGGCAAAGGCAGCCTCCATTCAAGGTTAGGAGTTCCCCTTCTTTCCCTCGGAGTCAAAGGACAAGCTCTGGTTATGTCTCCAAATTAGAGGACAATTCAGGAAGAATGTTCTACAGGGCTTGGCTTTGTTGCCCTTGAAAGCCACTAACAGAGAGTCCCCTTCAAGTGTTGAGTTTGCGCAAAGGACTCCGCGAAGATAACGTTATTGTGTAGAGAGCTTTTCCGGACTTTTGCCTTCCCTTTCTCTCCCTTTCGAGTGAGTTGCCTTCTGGTGTCCCTTTTCAGACCATCCCAACGAGTTGGTTTGGGTCTGTCTGCTTTCAGGGCCCCCCCAAAATGGTGTATTTGTTCTTTTAATTGAAACCACATCTAACTGCCACATGGCCAATGTGCCCCAAGCAAAGGTACTCACATAGATGTTGCAGTTCGGGCCGGTTGTTTGTAAGGCTATATCAATTTGACACCTTCGCGTTTGAGCAAAGAGTTGCGGCTTGCCGCAGGGTTCGATCCAAGATGTGGAACCAATCCTCGCTCCCGGAGAGTTCCGGTTTTCCCCAGTTGGGATGTGGCACGTTTTAGCATCGTTGAAATATTTTACTCGCTAGCGGGTGGGGGCAAAGCCTATGTGTGGAATATTTGCACAAGGATTCTTCAGGAGGGTCCGCGAACTCCTCCGGATTTCGGGACGGCTTGTCAATGCAGGATGGCTCAAAGAGGTTTGCATCCCTCTTCCAGGTGTGTGTTTTCTGGTTTAGCACGCCACCACACCAAGCAGATTTGGTAGGAGAAGCTTGTTGGAGACGCCCTTACCACAAACAAACACAGAAAACACACCACAGTTATTATGGTCCACCCACCCGCCCGCCCGCCCACCCACGCACACACACACACACACACCACACACAAAGACACAGACACACACACACAAACACACACAGAGACACACAGAACAAACAGGTATGGTCGGTATGGTTGGTCAGGCAACCCTTAGTCGGTGGCTGGAAAATTTGAGCTCGTTCTTGTAGATGGTAAACGGGCAACCAGCTCCGGAACACCTCCAAACGGGCTCCAATCCACCAGGAATGCTGATCCAAGCCTTTGCATTTCCATGTCTGGCTGCATCTTTTGTTAGTTAGGACCCCCCCAAAATGGTTGGTTTCCTTTTGGCTTCCCCGTAAATCCAACCAGAAGACAGTCCCAACCACAAAAAGACAAACCCGTGTGTTTCTTTCAGCAACGCCCAAATCCTCCCCCATCCCCCCACCCCGCGCTTCGCGCGTTTTGTAAATCCTTTGGACTCATCGCTTCAACACAGCGCAAGGCCGCAGCACTATTTGGCAGGTCCCAGACTCAGCTCGTTCAGTGGCCAGGTTTAAGCATAATGTTTGTTTTTGTTTTGCGGACCCCTTACCACCAAAAATAGTGATTTTCCTTGTGGTGTCCCTTTTAATCTGCAAAAAAAGAGGCGTACCCCCCAAAAAGACACCTCCATACCTAGATCTTCGAACCGGCTGTTTTTTTCTGCAAAAAGGCGCCTTGTCAGCCTTTGTGTTTTGCATCTCGGCGTTCTTGATGTAGCGCGCTTCCCCGAAAGCGCGATAGGAAATCGGCGGAACATCGGCGGATTCTGGCGGGAAATCGGTGGAATTTGGCGGTCATGATTTTTATTTTCCGCCGGCGTGCCTTGTATTTCGGCGCTTTTTGTTGCGCCTCCGCTTTAGTGTTTGAAATCAGCGTTTTTGTTGCTTCTTCGGCGGAGTTTTTCGCCGCCAAACATTTCGGCAAAAAACAATGGCGAAAGAAGTTCTAGGTATGATAGGGGGTATTTTTTGAAGGTACCCATTTTTGGGCTGCTTTGGGAAGCTTAAAAGGCAGCCACCCGTTTTTTTTGTTTGGCGGGGGTGCACGATGTTGAGAGAAACACCTGGCTAGGTCTCACGACGCAACCTCACAATGGGATTTTGCAAACAAAAACCACCTCAAGAAGTCCCTCCAACAAAAGACTTGTACATCATCCTCGGGTTGGCCTGGACCTCACGATGCAGAGGAATCCCGCTGAAATTTACCGAGTCTAAAAGCGTTGGCAACACAAGTGAAAAAACAAACAAAAAATCCACGCAAAACTCTTCAAACCATTCCTCTCCCCCCCAGATCCTTACCCCCCTACCAGAGCCCTGCTGGGTGCTCCTGGTCCGTGGTGTTGTATGGCCCCTTTCCCGTCGGTGCCCAACTCTACCTTGGTTAGAGTTGGCGCACGTGCCTACCGCTTTGAACAGCATTTTAGAGATCCACACTCGTACCAATGATCATATGAGCGGCGGTTTTTTGCCCGCAAGCTAATTTAGTGGGGAGAGGGACATTATTATTGAAAATGTGCGCCGCGCCACACGCGCGGAAGCGTGCGGAAGGCTCACGGAAGGGATTTGTTCGCGGAAGGTTTGCGGAAGCTTGGTGGCTGATATACAACTAAATGTTTCAGTGCGTGCATGGAAAAGCTCGGAGAAACAATTCCAGTAGAAGAAAAGGTGTTGCCGCGTGCAAGAAACGTAACGCTTACTCGAAGAGCAGATGCCAACAGCAAGCCAAGAAGGCCAAAACAGCCGGCGTACTTCGCGGAAGGTTTGCGGAAGCTTCGCGGAAGCTCCGCGGAAGGGAGGCCCCGTGTTTGCAAGCAAGCGGCCACGGAGCCCAAGCCTACACAAGCTGTGGAACACTACCTCACTGAAAATGACATTTGTTTCTGCGCCAATGCTCGCGGAAGCAAAACTTGTAAACCATGCCCCGCGGAAGGTTTGCGGAAGCAAACAATGAAACACAAGTTCGCGGAAGGGACCTCTTGGCCCGCGGGAAGGATGCGGAAGGGTCCGCGGAAGCTTGAATAATGTCCAAGCAAGTTTGTAGGGAATAAAAACCAACGCTCATATGTTTTTCCTCAGACCTTCAAGCGTCTGACTGCGAGGTAGGAAGAGCCACAGCAACTTGAGGGCGACAATGCATACAAGGCTTAGGGAAATGTGTTTAAACAACAACACCCAGGCCCCTTGTAAGCAGAAGCCGTAACAAGAACACAAAGCCTGCTACGCCCTGTGTTTAGGCTCATTGTTCATAATCCTCAGCCGCTTTGTTCTCAACGTGTTTCAACAGAGGGCGTGTACCTTTCTTTGAAGGGGTTTACAAACACTTTTTGAGAGGAATCTACTCAGCAGGTATGCAAACAGTGCATGTACAAACGCCTATCAAACAAGTATTACATGCTGTTGACAAAAGGAAAAAAGGGTTGAGGACATTAGAAAGGCAATGCCACAATGCTATTCCTCTAGCTCTTCTTGCTTTGACGACAAAGCAGGATTTGACGATGATTTGCTCTCCAGTTTTGAGTTTTCGCGCGGCCTCCTCGGAAGACTGAACGATCAGCTAAGTTTTCCCAGTTTTTTTGTCCACTGGGTGGGTCGGACTCGCTTCACCCTGGACTCTCTTCGCCAAACGGTCGCGGCAAGTCCGGCTCCCCACTCGTTTGTAGGGACCTCGTCACCAGGAAGGGAAGATGGAAGCCGGTGTTGGCAATTGGACGACCAGGAAGAACGAAACTAGAAACCAGGCGGCTGATGCATTGTGAAGGGTCAGCACAAATTCTCACAGCGTTTGCATTTGATTCGGGCGCCAGAACTTGAGCTGAGGTTCTTTGGTGGGCAAGAATGCCTACAAAGAGAAGAACCGCTACACCTGCCTTGGACAGGCCAGCTGTTGCAGCGTTATGAAGGCGTCTGCCCAAAGCCAATTTTGCCTCTTGGTGTTCATATTTGGATATGTGAGTGTTCTGTAGAGAAGAAGGCAGGTTTGAAAGGGAACCAAAAGGCAGACTACTCATTTGGGGGTCCCGTAAAAAAGACACCTACTTTGGTCCATGTCCAATCATGGCCCAGGTTAAGCTTGGATTTTCAGGTCGCGCCGAATGTGCATCGCTCAAAGGGCCCTGTTTTCTAACCTTAGCAGAAAGTTCTACCAAATGCCACCCAGTGTTTATCCTGAGGGGCGGGGTGAGGTCCTTCCAATCCTTGTGAGCTTTTGTAGAGTCATGGATGTAAATTGCTGGGTCCGCCGCTCACATGAGCAACAAAGTAGTGCTCACTCTCCCAAAGCCGACCTTTTGACCTTTTAGTTTTCCTGGTTTGGTCTATTTTGTGTCAAGATCCCGGTTGCCCTTTCATTTCCACTTCCGTTGAGCAAGTGAGTCACTGGCAGACTGTTGGCTACAAATGGTCCAGCGCTGGGCAAACCTGGCGCTAGGTCTTTGACACGCTCATGGAGGACCCTTCCGCGGGATACCGACGCAAGTCCAAATCTCCCAGTCGCCCGGGGGCCAAGCGATGCAACCGATCTTGTGTTGGGTGTCCCAACTGAACCCAAGACAAAACTGCGGATGGCCGAAATCCATTTCGCACCGCTTTGAGACCATGGGAAAGCATTGCTTGTTGGTATTTCCACTCATCCTTCCAGGGTTTCTTTGGTGCGAAATGGACTTCGTCCATCTACAGTACTGGGATAGGGTCGTACTTACGCTGGAGTTATAAGTGACTTAGCACTTAGCTTGGACTTATAAGTAACTTATCTTGAACTTAGAAAAGAGGTTTTTCTAAGTCCGCTAAGTTCATTCTAAGTTCATTGAGTTTGCAAACACATGCGTTTTGAAGCATGGCAGTGATGAAGCATTACGCGCTGGAAATCACACATTTTCGTGTGACTCAACGCAGCAGGGCAGGGGCGCGCGCGCGCGCATGCAGTTTACGCTGTTTGTTCGCGCTGCTTCGCACGCTTGGCTCGATGGAGCCGGAGCATTTTTTGCACTGATTGACTCGGTTTAATTTTGTTGTGCGATAATCGTTTCTATATAGTGTCTCCGCTGGCGGCCGGTCCGCCTTCATATAGTCGCATGGGGTGGTTTCTCCGCCGGCGGCCGGTCCGCCCATTTTGCTTTTCTCGTTTGATGATATATCATTGTAGCGGTGGTTCCGCTGGCGGCCGGTCCGCCAAGCTTTTTTTGCCACGTTCATTTTCATTTCGAGATGGCACTTGAAGCGGTTGTCCGCTGGCGGCTGGTCCGCCCAGGAATTGTTCGGCGTGATTTTTATTTCGAGATGGCACTTGAAGCGGTGGTCTGATGGCACCTTGCGATTTTTTGCATGTTTGGATTGTGAGTGCGCGGATGAAAGGCTGCAAGACTCAATCAAGGCTCCAGAATCCAGACTGCTGACTGCAAACTCCACACTCCAGACTGCAGACTCCAGACTGCAGACTGCAGACTCCAAACTGCAGACTCCAGACTGCAAACTCCAGACTCCAGACTGCAGACTCCAGACTGCAGACTCCAGGCTGCAGACTCCAGACTCCAGACTCCAGACTCCAGACTGCAGACTCCAGGCTGCAGACTCCAGACTGCAGACTCCAGACTGCAGACTCCAGACTGCAGACTCCTGACTCCAGAATCCAGACTCCTGACTCCAGAATTCACAGTCCAGACCCCAGAATCCAGCATCCAGACAGCCCCGCCCCAAAGCCCGGAAAGGCCGGTGCAGTTTTTTCGAACTTAACAAAACTTAACTTAACTTAACCTGGGCGGGTCGTGTGGAGCCGTGGAGTCCCTATTGTAACTCAATCAACTTAACTGCCAAACTTTCCCCGTGAGGCCCAGTTGCGTCACCACGACTTAACATAACTTAACTTGGCCCCGTGGCCGAATTCCACCACAAAATGATCAGGATCCTGGAGCCAGGAGTCATTGTGTCTGGAATCTGGAATCTCGAGTCTGCAGTCTGGATTCTGGAGTTGGCAGTCTGGACTCTGCAGTCTGGAGTCTGCAGTCTGGAGTCTGCAGTCTGGAGTCTGGAGTTTGCAGTCTGGAGTCTGCAGTTTGGAGTCTGCAGTCTGGAGTCTGCAGTCTGGAGTGTGGAGTTTGCAGTCAGCAGTCTGGATTCTGGAGCCTTGATTGAGTCTTGCAGCCTTTCACCCGCGCACTCACAATCCAAACATGCAAAAAATCGCAAGGTGCCATCAGACCACCGCTTCAAGTGCCATCTCGAAATAAAAATCACGCCGAACAATTCCTGGGCGGACCAGCCGCCAGCGGACAACCGCTTCAAGTGCCATCTCGAAATGAAAATGAACGTGGCAAAAAAAGCTTGGCGGACCGGCCGCCAGCGGAACCACCGCTACAATGATTTCTCATCAAACGAGAAAGCAAAATGGGCGGACCGGCCGCCGGCGGAGAAACCACCCCATGCGACTATATGAAGGCGGACCGGCCGCCAGCGGAGACACCGCTATAGAAACGATTATTGGACAACAAAATTAAACCGAGTCAATCAGTGCAAAAAATGCTCCGGCTCCATCGAGCCAAGCGTGCGAAGCAGCGCGAACAAACAGCGTAAACTGCATGCGCGATGGCTCACTGCGCGGTCCTGCCGCGATGGCTCACTGCGCGGTCCTGCCGCGATGGTCGCAGCGCGGTCCTGCCGCGATGGTCGTTGCGCGGTCCTGCCGCGATGGTCGCTGCGCGGTCCTGCCGCGATGGTCGCTGCGCGGTCCTGCCGCGATGGTCGCTGCGCGGTCCTGCCGCGATGGCTCGCTGCGCGGTCCTGCCGCGATGGCTCACTGCGCGGTCCTGCCGCGATGGTCGCTGCGCGGTCCTGCCGCGATGTGTTTTCCAAACATGGAAGCGGCCCCGCCGCCGCTACGCCGTGTTCCGCCCTGCGCGGTCTAGCCGGGAGCGACCGTACGTCTCGAAAAATGATGCGCGCGCGCGTAGTCCGGTGTCAGGCTTTCTCTCTCGTTCAGCGATGTGGTCCGCAACATGTCAGGGGTAGCGCACGCGTGCTTTTTCGCACGCAGGCAGACACGTAGACTCAGCGAGGTAGACGCGTTTGGGACATTGCTTCGCAAGCGCTGAATGACCGAAGGCTGTTTTCCTCAAATGGTGCTAAAAAGCTAAGTCCCAGCTAAGTTCATTCTAAGTCCCGGCACCCGGAACTTAGCTCGAACTTATAAGTGGGCCTATCTAAGTTAAACATAGACAAGTAACTTATAACTATCCTCGGACTTAGCAAACTTATAAGTCCATTTGTCCCACGTTATAAGTCCACTTGTAGTAACTTATAACTCAAGTTATAAGTACGACCCTATCCCAGTAGGTCCCTTGAGGCTCCCCGGCTTCCGTTTTCGGGCGGTTGAAAGGGCTACCTACCCCCAACGCGGACAACGAGGCGTGACCTTTGCCGGCGAGGACAAGGCTGGCGGGCGGCAGCCTTTGGCGCAATAGCTGGGGACATCAACACCCGGGTGGATGAGGGTTAGTGTTACTGTACAGACCCCTGGCTCAAAACTCTGCAACAGACACCACTGGTTTTGCAAAGAGTATCTGAAGGTAAAGATTGTGACTCTTTTTTTTTCCCGTGGTACCCTTTTTTGGCGGTTTTAAAGGGAAACCCATAGGGAACCGAAGCCATTTTGGGGGGTCCAACCTCAAAAGCGGCCGGCCTGGGATATGGGTGGCCTTCATATTAGGCGTTTGGCTCATGGCCTTCCCGCGGCGCGCCTGTCACGCCCCGGCCTGCCAACAAAGCCATGACACACCCGCCCGCGTTACCGAAGGCGCTGGATGACTTTGCCTGCTTTCGTGTTTGGTTTGTGCTACAGTCTGATGGCACCCCTGATGTTCATCTCGCTGTGGTACAAGGGCAAGATGACCTCCTGTCGTGGCCTCGTGGCCTGCTGTCATGCCCAAGCCTGGCACAACAATCACGGTGTCTCTTCACGGGTTTATATGATCACTCAGGTGATTCTTGCCTGTGCATATTCAAGTGCTTCGCTTGCGCGGGTGGTCCAGCCCTCTGGAAACCAACCTCGGATGCTTTCGTGTCAGCCGTACCTCCGGGAACTCCTTGCAAAGCGGTCAAGCATGCGGTTCCTTTTTGTGGAGCTTTTGCTGGTTGGTCACATGCAGTACACCTCTTGCAGAAGCAGAGTGTCCAAATCAGGAGCGTTGCAGCCCTGGACTTGGAGGAATCCACCATCAAAAGCTATTGTGTCTCATTTGGACCCACATGCTTTTCGCCGGGCACACCTGTGGGCTCATTCCTGCATCTACATGTTGTTCCGCCCTTTGCTTGGCATGCTGGCATAAGTGATAGATATCGGCAGCATGCATTCTCGCCATTGCAGTGTGATCTCTGGTCTGTCAATTGCCCTTGTGTTTCTTGGAGTCAATCGGGACGAAAGCAAGGATTGCATAGTGAAGGTGGCCGTGTATTGATCTGTACCACTGCCAATGCGGCTATGTCCAGACCGCTAGCCATCTGCTGTGAACAAGGGGCAGAATTCCAGTCGCACCCGGATTGCGAAGTTGTTGCCGATGTCTGGCAGCAAGCTGGCTTTCGTATAAATAGAGAAGGAGTGTTCGACCTCCAGGAGGTTGGTCCTGTCAGGAGGAGACGCTATCTCTCGGTCTTAGTGCGCAAAGTCCTGCCGTGTGCACCAGGGATCAATGTGATGAGCAAGTGGACTAGCCTTGGCCCCTTCACGCCTGCTTCTGAAGGTGCCATGATTGAGTTACCAGCAAGCTTGGAGAACCAACTTTTCCCAGGTCTTAAGTTGTACTGGAACCCGGAGTTACTGCCAAGGACAACAAGCAAAAAATGAGCTGACCCAACTGATTAAGTGAGGCTCAGCAGACCAAATCGCACACTGGCTTTGCACCCGGTGATGTAACGCGTGGTTTTGTCGTGTGTTAACCGAGCCATTCCCTTGACGCCAAGCGGCGCACTCTTGGCCCCCAGTTGGACCAAGCAGGTGCCTTTTCCTCGGGGCAAATAGCTGCCCTGGGGCAGTTAATGCATATCTGCAGCCAACTCAGTTTGGTCTTAATAACAGACCCTGAGGCTATGCTATATGGCACTGCCTTCTCAATATGTCGCAGTCTATGTTTGACTTCGACCTTGTAGTATTGGGTTTTGCCTCTTCCTCGCGCATCTGTCGCTTGAGGGTTGACAGTGCGGACTGTCCGTCTTTGCTTCGGCGGGGGGCGGGCAGTGAAGTCAAGCGTGACGGTGACCTTCATATTGGTGAATTGTTTGGGACCCAACTTTGGTTTGATTGGCCGGCCATGAACAGCAACGATCATTTAGCGTGAAGAGGACTGAGGCGAGGACTGGACAGCAACTCGGCTCAGGACTCGAATAAACACATCGTTTGGTTCAAAAAGGCATGTTGGATGATGGTGTCCCTTGAGTTCACGTTCGCAGCACTGCCTGGACGAATGGCACATGTTGACCTTGGTGGATCGTGTGCTCATTGCCGCTTGCGAGCGCATGCCGCACACGGAGCAGCGTGCGGCTTGGCTGGACGGTGGCGCGCGCAGCATTGGCGTAGCTGCTGAATTCATGTACAAGCTGCTTCGTGGCCCGGATGGGGTTAGTAGTTCTGGGATTACGACCATTTTCATGCCAGGTGTTGATTGTGACTCACGTGTTACTTCAGAGTAGACTAAGCCCCAAGGTGTAGGAAAGAGACCCAAAGGAGTAGTTGGCTTTCCGTTTGCTTTCCTTCAAAACATGTTCAAGTCGAAGGCAAAGGGCATTAAGACTGAGGCTGCCGATTTCCATTTCACGTTCAGTTTACACTTGAAGCACTGAACCTGCATCAACGCTTAACATCTGACTGATTCCCTCCCCCACAGGCTAACATGGAACCCAGAGAACCATCAGTTTCGAGGAATCTTCTTTTGTGGAAGGACTTCTTTTGGGCTTCCACGTCAATTTGCAGAGCAATTTCATGATTGAAAAATATTGTCACGGCTTGGGCTTGAACCTGGGCCAAGTCATTTGCCTAAAGCCGGCTTCGGGTTTAAGGGGCCCATGCAAAGTCAGCTTTTGATCCGGCCCATGCTCATTGAGAGGATCTTCAAGCAGATTCCACCAAGTTGGCTGATGAGCCCCCAAGGAACTGATGCCGTCGGCTTCCCTTTGCGTACAAGAGTGCCCTGCCTCACCAACTTTTTGCCCTTTTGGTGGTTTCTTGGCGGTTCCCAGACATCCATCCCACCCCTTAGAGTTTTTAGTTGTTGTTTTTTTGTTTGGCTGGTTTAGTCGTCGGGTTGCCGAATTTGTCGGAAACGAGGGCGGCGTTTTTCGGGGATCTGAAAACGGACAGCCCAGGTCTTTACTCATTTTTTGTTTCAGCCAGACCAGTTGTTACGTTTTGCAGCCCAGATCCGTCTCCAGTTATCGCTCCTCGGGTTTTCCTTCCGATGCCAGGGTGACAAGCCTTCCGGCATTCAGCGCCCAGCGTGGAGCTGAGCGACTGTGGGGGTGGGGAGTTATAAATGGGGGCTTTTACTCGGTGGCGCCTTTTGGTCGCGTGTGTTTTTGGCGCTGCACGGTACTCTTTTTGGCTTGGTTGACGAGGTTTAAAAGTAAAGCTCTGTATCTCCCGCACCCAAACTCTTTCTCACGCAAGCTTGTCGGTTTGGTTTGGTTTGGCTCTGTTTTGGAAACTCTGCATCGCTTTTGGAAACTGCGAGGCCACGTAGATTCGGTGCATGTTTGGTCGGCTGAACACTCGGAGCTTTTGGGCTTTGGGGTTGGCGTTGGCTTTGGGGCTCTTGGGCTTTGGGGTTGCCTGGGGGGGGGGGGGTTGGCTTTGTTGACGGGCTGAAAGTGGTCTGTTGCGACCTCAAAGGACGTTTTTCATTGACCTTTTGGTTTCCAGCAAGTTGTGACACCCATCTTGGTGTGTCTCAAAATAGGGGAACCCCTCGATTGGGAGGGTGCAAAGGGATGCCAACAGCATTAACAAATATGCCTGGAACTCGAACCCTCCGAAAACCACTTGTTTCTTTGACAAACCCTCCGAAAACCCACCGTTGTTGTGAGATACTTGGGCTCAACTCCACTTGTTGAAGGCCAGTTTGAGGGTCCAGGTGTCTAGCTTGGCCAAGCGTCGATATGGTTTTTCCCCCGCCGCGATTTCCGGAGCGGCGATGTCTGGAGGCGACGGGCTACATTCGGCAAGTGCCACCAGAGCCTGGGCGCCTGACGGGCTGAGTCGAGCTGAGTCGGGCCACTCCCTGAGTTCCTGGAAAATAGTCAGTCAAACTTTTGGGGTTTGGAGCATTTGGCAAACGAAAAGTTCGAACTTTGGCCATTCCACTCAGGAAGTGTTTCTTTTTTCAGGGTTTCCGAGCCATTTCCTTTTGTGGAACCTCCAAGCGTGGCGATCGGTTTAGTGGAAACCACCAGTTTCTTTCGCAACTTTTGAAGGGGAAATCCAGTGACCCCTGTTGGACGTTTTAGGAAGACCATTTCTTTGGTGCATTTTGCTTGGCTGTTAGGACTTTAACTTTTTGCCAACTAATGGGTTTTCCACTCAACCACTAAAAGCTAAACTTTTTTAGCAGGGGAGCAGAAAGCAACAAAGTTTTGTCTGAGAACTAAAGCTTCAGACTTTTGTTGGCCAATCCGCTCAGGAAGTGAGTCAAGACACGCCTGAGGGTTCCCAAGTATTGCCGGATACGGATCTTTGCAGAGGGTGCTGCTTCTAGAGCGGCTTAGAGGAAACTGGAACACCACCCTTTTTCGGGGAGGTCACCCGCTTAGCTTGCTTCTTTCCTTCTTTTTTTGGGGCAGGGGGGGTGTTCCATCATGTTCCCTTTTGACCACACAAGCCCAAGCTCCACGGCCATGAAGCTTTCCAGAAAGCCGAGAAAGAAAGCACTCAAAAGCTTACGCGCCACAGAAACACATATGCCCCAAATGATTGGAAGCCTATTGTGAATTTGGGGAGTACATGGGGGGACAACCCAAATTCCCCACAAAAACAGAGGGGGCCAGATGTCCAAGGTGCTTTCGGGAAACAAAGGATGTGTTCCGTTGCTCACACCAGCCTAACGATTGCAGACAAGCAGCCTAATGGATTTCGGGGGCACCGCAAGAATCCCTCGGTGCCAAAACGGGGAAACACCCTAAACCCATTTCTAGGTGTTTCTGCGGGAAAACCGCCGCGTTTTGGTTTGCTTTGGTATAGACCATTCTGTAAGACTCATTTATACACGGAGCTTACGGCGGCTGATTCAGAACCTGACGTTTTGGCTGCCACACAGACCTGAGGAATCTTGTGGGGTGATGTTTAGACGGGGTCGTGGTGCGTTTTTCATTGCCGACGGTTTCCTTTCTGCTATTGTTTTTCTGGACACCAGAAATGACCCATCAACTTTGGAGGGTTGCATATCCCATTTGGAGACAAAACCATATACATGTGAGCGAGAGCTATATATATATAGATATGATCTCGACTTCATACAATGGAATTACATACACTTTGACATGAAGCCAATGCTGCGTGTATGAGAAATGCACGATATGACCAGGGTGTCGGTGTTTGGTGGTTTCCAGTAGTTGTTGGTGGCCAACATAGGCCAATACCCAGGAAGGCAACCTCCCCAGCTACATGGAACCCACCAGCTACATGGAACAAGAAGCTGGACCCAGCCGCCCGAGAGCCTCAGCCGACGGATCCCCGCCGACGGCGGCATTTCCAGGGTCCATGAGCTTTGCGGCCCCGATGGACGGCCTTTGGACTAAGTGCTGAGCGGCGCGAGGCGCGCTCTCCTCAGATGGGGCGGGGGGCGGGGGGGGAGTTGGGTTGCTAGGGGTGGGGAGGCGAAAAGTTTTCCCCATAGAACACCAGCCCCAAAATGGGTACCCTCATGTCGTTTTTGGAGGGTTCCAAGGATGTTGTGGTTTTTCCAGGGAAGCCAAAAGAAATAACCATCCCATTTTGGTACACACCCAAAAGTTGCCAGACTTGACTCAAAGACATCTTCGCCCGCCTGGGCCCTTTGGTGTTGTTTTCCGGCAGCTTCTCCTTGAAACAGCAAACAATTCACTTTTTGCAGGCAGTCTACGGTAAGTCTAGCCAACTTACAAGGACTTGGGGATTCGGGGTGTCCATTGAGTTTCCATCTCCTCTCCGTACAGTAAAATCGGTAAAATCTAGGGAACTCACCGATTCAGCGCACGTATCAAGACTCCCCGCAGTTGGGGTTCTGTAATTGCAGTTTGTGAAAATTGGAACTTGAGGATTACCCCCTGAAGTCGGGGCAGCACGGAGCTCAATTTTCTCCAACCCTCATTCGCCCACCTCGAGTTTTTTGCCAATAAGTTACATGCAGTTACATCAAAGCCTGGGGATGAAGGCGTAACCAGCCTGAGACCACCTACACAACCAGACGAGGTTGAGCGGAAACCGCAGAACCACTTGCCGGTAGCCGACTCTCGTCCTTCGGTCAAGGAAAAACCAAATAGTAGAACCACGACAACGGCCGAGGAAAAGTTGCCGGACCCCGACAGAAACTCGAAAAGCCCCACAGAAAGCCTGCGGACAGACACGAGCTGTTTGAAGCCGCCTGCCCGAAAAGGGATGGTTCATAGGTCTGCTGCCTTTCAACGACATCGGACCCTCATAAGAGAAGCTTTTGGCTGGCTGTTGGCTGGCTTTCAAAGACTGTGGCAAATGTGCAGGTGTGACACTAATCTGCGCAGGGCATATTTTATCTATATGCATAATAGTATTAAACAAATATATATATATATATATATATATACATGCACATGTATGTGCCTATACACATATATGTGTCTATATACATATATTGTCAACCTTCGATTCATCAAGGAAAAGCAATTGAGTGGTTTGTTCCCAGGCCTAGAGAGATGAATAAATTACCCTGCAATAGTTTTGCAGAATTTGGCAAACAATTAAGATCCTGAGCTAGTTGAGCTAGTTCAATTTGTTGCTCAGGGCAGCTGATTAAATTGAATTAGCCAACAACTAAACGGTCCAGGGCCCAGTTAAAATGGTCAAAACTCAACATAATAAACAATAAACAAAAACCGCAATTCGCCAAATTTCTCTTCCATTTGCTTAAGAATGTTTTAGATTTTTCCCTGTTGGTTTTGAAGGGAATCTATCACTACTGGACATATGTGTATTTTGTCCACGGAACTTAAGCAAATGGAAGTTGTCTTGCGCGTTTCTCCGAAGCTAACTAAAGAAGTTACACGGTTTTGAGTTGAAGGCCCCGCCAGGGCGAGTGACAAGTAAACATCGATGGCATAATTCCCGTGTTGCTTTAGTCATTCCCTTTACTTGGTGCTTCGCAGCCATCCGGTTCCTCAGCCTTTTAGATCATTCTAGTGTTTAGTGGGGATTTCCACTTAACCCACTGAAAGTTAGACTTTTAGCAGGGGATCTGAGGACAGCCCAGTTTACTCTGCCACATACACACAATTGTGCTACCTAGTTTTGCCCTGGTGTATTTCCCTTGAAAGGGCTATGACAACAGTACAGATTGCCGGCATCCCGACCTAAAATCCAACACTGGTTCGGAGCCATATCAAGGGGAGCCATGGTAAGTTCATGGCAGGTGGTTTTTGCTTGGGGCACCCAAAGAAATCAACCGGTTCCCCTAGTTTGAAGATCACTTACATTGGTGGTTCCATGTTGTCTTTGTGAGGCCTACCGGCCTATCTTTCAAGTTATTTTGAGACCTGCCGCGGACCTTGCAGGTCTCTTCCCGTCTTGCCAATGAGAACACCAGAGCTGCGTTGCGCGGAGCCGGACATGAAAAACATGTTTTCCTACGCCAAGCTTGAGCCAGTCACAGGTGTCTTGTTCAAACCCCTTTTGGATGGGTTGGATACTGTGGATGGAAAAGCGAAATGCGTTTGCACCACTAACTGGGGGTCATGGAAGAATTAGCTTTCCTTTGTCGTGAGTGAGGGACCCTGTCACGCGTGCAAAAACCAGGGGTAAAAAGCAATCGTAAGCCTTGATCCTTTGCATTACAAGAAGATGTGCTAGGACCCCCAGTAGTGCCCTTTTACCCCTTCTTGGGGGAGGGTACCCCTACTAAAATAGGTACCCTTATTCTAACCTCTCTACTGGAACCTAGTTTGGTTCGTCTGTGGTGATCTGGAAGGCTTGGTTCTGTAGGAGTTGATGATTTTGACCAGGTGAAGGTACCTTCGAAGGCATGGTACCCAAAGTTGGGTTTCCCTTGGTTTCCCCTTTAAAGCACCGCACAACCTCAAAAGACACCAATTGTAAGCTTTCAGCTCGCGCCTGGTCGCTCTTTTGCTTGCAGCCTAGCTGCGATTAGGTTCGGCAGCCGTCAAAGACAGCCGCATGCCGCAGTGGTCGGCAAGAACTGAGCAGTGCTTAAAACCCCAAGCAACCAATCAGGTGGCCCTAGGATCTCCTTTGCCAGTGATAGATTGATTGTTGTGTGACCGGTTTCCTTGGAACATCACACAACATGATGTTTCGTTTATTCCTTGCTTTGCCTTGGTGACCCTGAAATAAGTCTCTGCACGTTTGCCGGAATGATGGTGTTTAACGTACCCCGCAACCAATGACTTAGAGCCTTGGAGTGGTTTTTATGATGCTGCTCACTTGCTCATAGACACCGCCAGAAGTCCTTCCGGGCTTCACGGCTTCGCAGTTAGAGAGCTAAAAGCCCGCGAGCTGCGCTATCATGCAGGGCCCGGCCACAAAGATCCTGTTAGAATGTTGTTGTTCTGTTTCTTGTTTTTTTCTTAAAGAGAAAGCAAAACAACAAATCTAAGACCTTATTTAGAGTCTAGAGGAAACCGAGTGGCAGGCAGGAAGGGGGGAGGGGGGGTTGGATCCTATGAAGTAAGGCAGTTGGAACATGGGACTTTTTGACCAACACCTTCCAAGGGCTGTGAACTGGTTCCCACAGCGTCCTGGCTTGGTGAGGGGCAGTTTGACAAATTGTCCTTGGGAATCCTTGGCAATGCCGGCAAACAAAGGGTTCCCTACCACCAAGTTACCCAAGTAAATACCGGCCCACAACAAGCCCAACCATGAATGGCATTTATGGATCACCGTTGGCTGTTTGAGCCCAGTGGAAGGTATCTTTATGGTTTTTCAAGGACACTGAAAGCATGTGGGGTCCAGCAGATACAGCAGAGTGTTGCTAGGATTGGGCCACCCAGGCCCTCTGTTTCAACATGGGTTGCCAGTTTCAGGCGGCGATGGCAGCCTTTTTGTTTGACCCACGGGACAACTCTGGGCTGAGTTTTAGGAGACCCATCAGCTTAGGGGCCAAGGGCATCAGGAAACACTGACTGGACATAGGTGTCGTTCTGATTGGTTAGTTTTCTTAAGAGATGGGTTCCACTGGTTCAGATTGGTTTTATGCCCCATTTGTTTGTCCAAAAGGTCCCCTATGTCTCAAAGTAGGGACACCCCCAAAGGGTAACGCCTTCCTTTTGGTTTCCCCTTGAAACCCATCGAAACAGGGAAGCCAAAAAGAACTTATCCAACTAAACACAACCAAAAAGCTTAGGGACAGGATGGCTGGAAACCACCAGGACAAAGCCAAAGCTCGGCAAAAGCAGACGTGCACCGAAAACTTTGGGTAATTCAGGCGTCATGGTCGTCATAGTGGGGTGTATCAATTTGTCCCCATGTCCGACCTTCACCTGGCCGCTTTTGAGAAAGAGACCGCCTTCCATTATGGAGAAGACCTGCCTGCTAGCAGTTTTGTTTGGCAAAACCAGCCAATCACACCTTTGGCAAGAAGCAATCGTTGTGTATTGCTTTGTGCTGGAAAGAGAAGCAAGTGACAAGAGTAAAACGATTGGTGAGTTCCAGTTGGTTTCGGCATCCCAAGTTTTTTCCACTCCAAGTACCTAAGGAGGAGCTTTGAGCCCTGTTGACTCAGGAACCATTCCGAAAGCTGTCTTCCCGCTTGACTTTGAGGTTCGGAGGTTTGGCTTCCATTAACCGTAAAGAACTTCAAAGGTTCTAATCCCGATTCCAAACCACCCACTTGCCAGCCACTTCGTGTGGACCTTTGGGTTGCTTTCCTCAGATCTTCGGAAGACATTAGACCTGGCCAGTGGCTTGCCATTTGCATGGTTGTTGTTGGGAAACATTTTACATGTTTGCTTATTGTGGTTTGGTGGGAAATCCCCACTTAACTGCTAAAACATATTTGTTTGCTCCCCTTCCAACGTCAACCAAGCTCATAGATGCCATGGTCATGATGACATTCGAGTGTCCAGTGCAAGACTTTCAGACAGGATAGTTTTAGGGAGGAACGAACCTAAGAAGGAAGCCTTAGGCGAGCACTCCCAAATACATACTAAAAGGGTACATGACCATATTAGAGGGAGACCTGGCGGATGATTTTGGAGGGTGTTTGATCTGGATTTGTCTAAAATGGGTTCGTCAACCTGGGTTTCATGAATATGTCCCTTCGCACTGAGTCGATTTTTCGGGGCATCCCCGGCTCCTATGTCATGTATGAAAGCTTGGGTTGCCGCAACAAAACATGGTGGAAGGAAACTAAATAATGTACGGAGGAGGCTCGGGGCAGGGGGGTTGTTGGGTTGTTGGGACATGGGTCGGCCGTCGCCCGTGTTTTTTTTCCATTGGCCCGAGCTCCTGGGGAAAACGCGCTGAGCCCAGAGGGCGAGCAATGCGTGTAGGATGAGCAGCTGAGCAGGGCTGGCCATGTTATCACAAACCATCCAGGGCATGAGACATTTCGAGCTTCCAAGCTCAGCCGAACCAATTTTGTCGTGTTGTTCCAAAGCCCCTAAAACATCACTTGGAGGCAAGTAAATCTTGAGCCCGATCTTGGCTCTGACCAGTCATTCAGAGGATGCCACCCCTGTTTTGCCCGTTTCTTTCAGGGTTCCATTTGGTGGGGTAATGTCTGCGTTCCACACACTCAGTGTTTTAGAGCCCGGATGCTACTCTGAGGTTTGGGGCGGTTCTTTCAACTTGCCAAAGTTCTCCAGCCTCGAGGGACCTATAACCTGGTTGGCCAGTACTCCTGGATTCCCATCTTGGCACGGAATTATGCAGCTTCCTTGGGCGATGCGCAAGGCCATCTCCTACTAGCTTATGCTTGTTGGACGTCCCAAGGTTTGCAAAGAGGAAACCAACATGGAGGAGGTACTTGGGTGTGTCTTTTAGGGGATCCCCAAGACAATGGCTTTCCTTTGGGTTCCCCTCTAAAACCCTAAAAAGAGGGCTCCCTCAAAACAAGCCCTCGCTAGCACCGAGCAGAGACCAACGTGCAAGAGACTTCCATGCGACTCCATGGCGGTGCGCGAGCTTCGCACTCGGTGAGGCCCGGAGCGCAGCTGTCGAGCTGTTCGTTTTGCCAAAGATCAGCTTCCTTCCGCCCTTTCAGCCTCTTCCATTTGGTGAAGTATAGGTTTCTTCCACTTTCCCCTCTTGGTTTTAAAGGGAACCTAGCACTACTGGATTCTCTCTTTTTGTTCCAGGGGACTTAAGCAAATGGAGGGAAATGGAGGGCCTCAGTTGGCTTGGATCGGTTTGGATTGGTTTGGTGCTTAGTTTTTTGGGGGCCCCAAGCACCCCTTGGAAGAACAGCTTCGAATCCCGGCAATCCAAACCACCAGTTACCCTTCCCCCCACGTTGCCATGGCACCTGGAGAGCATTTGGAAGATCAGCTTTCTCTTGGGAACCCCGGTCAGGTGCCATGACAACGTGGGAGAGAGGGGACATGTTTCGCTGTTTGCCGTTTTTTGATGTTCTCCATTTGTCCTTTCTAAAAGTCACAGAGGGCGCCACGCAAGCCGAGAAGATTGCCCGCGAGGGCCCCCCTGCCTCATGGCCCAGTCTTCCCTGTGTTTTTGGTTGAAAAGGGTGTTTTCCGTACTAAGCCCACAAGTTTTCAGCTTTTGCAGAGTCGTTGCAGCAACCAAGTTTGGGCTACCCTCCTGCTGACATCCTCTGGGCTGAGCTCTTGGGATCCTCTTTCCGGATCACTGGATGCCCTGTCCCTAGGCCTTCTCCCACCTCGGGGACCTTTATTGCAGACAAAACGTTATTACTGCCCCAATATGGAGAGCCGCTCTCTAGAAAAAAAGCGATCACAACCTTTTCCCACTCTCGGACTCTCAGCTTTTTCTCTTTCGGGGGCTTCCTTGCTTCCATGGAACCTTCCTCAGTTGTTCAGTGGCACCCTTTTTCCCTTTTTTGTTGGTGCTGCCCCGTTTTTTCCCTGGGTCACTGAACAACTGAGCTTCTCGTGTCAGCGCCGAAGTTTTTGGAGTTTTGGCCTTGTTGTCCAGGGCTTTCGCGCGGCGTGCACCCTTGAATTCCCTGTGAGCGAGTCTCTCAGGCTCTTTTTTTTTGCATGTACAGCAGTGGTACCATTTTGGTATAGGTGCACCACCCAGTTTAGTCTATTTTAATGGGATTGGGATGTTCACTAGGAATACTAATTTTAACCCATGGCCACATATGAAAGCCTGGTTTTCGACCCCATGGGTGGCGTTTTAGGAAGGCTTAGGGATTCGCAGGCTTTGCATAGACCTCCGGCAAAGCTTGACACGGCGCTAGCTGCAGATCGTTTGTTTCATACTTGCTGCTTGATGCTGCAAACGAGTGCCAAGGTCTCCAATATTGTTTTAGAGCCATAACAAGGGAGCCATGGGGCGTTTAATGCCCCTTAATGGTTGATAGCCCCTAATAGTCGCTATGAAACACTAGTCACGATTCAGCTGCATTGCCCCCTTATGGCCCCGAGATTCGCTACTCGCAGTGTGGTTCCTTTTTTTCTTGGCACAGTTTGTCCATTAGCTCACCACCAAGACCAACAGGCCAAGCGCCAAGGGAACTGAAATTAACGTGCAATGCTAGGTTGGCCTCATGGCTTGCATATTAATTACATTGCCAGCTTAGATGCCCAAAGCCGCCATTTTCACCTTTTGGTTCCGCTTTTTTGTTCATGTTTGGTCATGGCCCAAAAGGTTAGCCTTCTACTTCTGGGTCCGTTGAACAACCGCACCCGACTTTCGCATCTTTTAGCCCCTTTCACAAATACGCTGGTTAGGCAGTTTAGCCGAGGGGCACTGAGCCAAATACAAACTATGTGCTTTCGCTTGCGACGGAGTAATGAATACAGGCAGCCCCCGCTTTGTGTGGCTTTCCATTCAAGGCCACATCTGAGGTTTAGTCAAAGTAACTGGTAGTCTTCATGCTTGGGAGGGGCATGGTGGCTCGCTAAACTTGCTGCAAACCGCAGGGGAGCCCTATTTTTCGCGTGTGTGGATGTATCAAAATAGGCATACCTGCGTAAAAGGCTGGTTTTCTGTTTTCCTCTGAGTTTCTTCATTTAAGCCAACACTGAAAAGGGCAATTCGCGCGGCTTTTTTCCAGCCCACGAAGCCTCTCTGGTCTTCCCGGTGGCCAGGCCTTCATGGCAGAAGGCCAGCGAAATCGACTCGAGGACTCGAGCCAGGAAGTTCTCTCCGCATGCGGCCACTTTAGCAACTTGCACATTCGCCACTCATATCATAGGTGATTAGCCTACCCTCCAGCCTCCCCCCTCCAGCCTGAAAATTTTGGAGGAGTAGGATAATCACCTATGACATGGCCCAGAGTGAACATTGCAAACCAACGGTAAGTCTAAAAATGCCACCCGCACCTTGGGACACCAAATCCAACTTGGAGATCCAAATCTCCATACCTGGGACCTCCAAGGCCCGTGAATTCGAAAATTGGACTGAGGAATAAGTGTTTTGATTGTTCAATCGGTTGATTACCCCCAAGGCAGACTAAAACCCAAACATGGCTCGACTTTTTCGGTTTTTGCTTAGGACATCTTGTGGCATGTTGCCTTGGTATTGCTTGGGATTGGTTTTTGTTGCTCATCCCATCAATCTCTAGGGAACACGACATGTGATTGCTCCCAACAAACAGTTCTGATTGCGGTCACCACCGGGGGATCAATCCGTGTGATTGTGCCCGACAAACAACCATCAACGCCTTCCTCGCTTTGCCGGGGATTCTGTGGAAAGCCTCTTGTGGGTGGTGTTTGCACTGTGTTTCATAAATCACTGGCTGCTTTTTTGGCGATGAGCAAATGAGCAGATGGCCATTTACCTGCTTGCAAACGCTTGCAAAATGGTTGTTTCCAATCACCGGCACGGGGAACCACCTCAAAAGTGGTTGCTGGGTGAACATGAATCCCCACCGAAATTTGATGTCCACCAGTTGGCTGTGGGTCAAAACCAATGGTACCATGTTGGGGTAGGTGCAAAACCCATTTTAGTCTTAGTGGGGATTGGGATGTTCACTGGGGGTACGGGTTTTTGACCCATGGCCAGTTCAGGTCCCAACCAAAAGACCAACCAACAACCAAACAGACAGACTATTTACCGGCAAAGTGCCATGGCCGCTGCCCTGGCTGCATTGTGGGGATTTGCGCAAAGAGCCCACTCATTTGGCAGGCGTTTATGGCTGACCACAAAGGGTGGGCTGTTTTTTAGGGGGACCCATCCTTGCATTTCAGTCGAGCTTGTTCATCAAATGTTCATCAAAACATAAGCCGTCTTCAATGTATTGGTATACTATATTGCTTCATGTTTCGCAACCCCTACAAATTTGATTGCTTGATCCCTTTGCAGAAAGCTGAACTATGCAAAATCTACTGTTTCCCAACAAGTTACAGTCTCAAGATCCAAGCAAATAGCCATAAATCGATGTACACCACGTCCTACAGGAATGGTTGGTTTCTTGTTTGGCCAAGGTACTTTTGACCGTAGGGAAATGAGGGCCCCATGAAGGTTATGCACTCCTAGGGGCCTTCGAGGCACCGACTTGCCTCTTCGATTGCATCCGAAACGTCAGCCTCTTCATGTTTTCGGCTTGGAGATAAACCCGTAAATGGCCAAAATGTGGTTTTCATGGGTCCGTCCTTCTTTCTTGTGGGAGTTTCTCCCAGTTTGTTTGTTTGGTTTTCCTTCAGAACATCCCCTCAAGACCACCGAACAGGGCTACCCAAACCAACCCAAGTGGTCGTCCACCAACCCTTGAGCCCGGATCTGAGCGGATCGGGTTTCGGGATCGGGTGTTGGGTTTCGCGGTCTCGGGGTCCAGTTTCGGTCACCCCAAAAGATGACCTGAAAGATTTCCCAGGTGTCAACTTTTCATCGTTGAGCTTGGGCAATGAAATCGAACTTCCTGTGGTTTGGATGGGTTATATGCCCCATTTGCCGGTGAATTCCATGGAGTTTGTGTCCAAAAGGTCACAGGTCCGTTGGGCAAGTAGGCGCAATATCCCAGGTCTCACCGTCCGATTTCGGTCGAGTCGGAGGTGGAGAGCGTCCACAGGCGCCACATGAAGTTGGCTGGGATCCTGAGATCCACGGGTCTCAAGTGCACCATGGGCCATTGGACCCTGAAATGGGGGGCTTACATAGCCCAGTTGCCCAGTGGAGTCTGCCATTTTTTTCAACTTTTTTGGGGACGGGCTCCCCTTTAAAGTCAGCCAACCAACAAATGATGCCCTTTGGTTCCCATGGCCAATTGGCATCTGAGATTTTTTTGGGATTGCGGCAGTTAAGAACAAATGCAACTCATGTGTAGTTCTACCCAAAAATCCTACATGGCATGCCCCAAACAAACAGGCTGAGTTTGCAGGCAATCCAACAGGGGTCTTCAGATTCAGATCCTTTCTGGAAAAATAACGCATGTTCATAGCCTTGAGGATGCCATGCTGGTAAGTTCTAAGCTACCTTTTTCACCATCCTTTGAGGTTCCGTTTTGTTCTGGTTTCCTCAAACTGTCGTTTGCCTTCCTGGTGCAAAATGTTCCGCAATGGGCGGGAAAGCAAGTTTTGGTTGAAACTAGAGGGACTCCGCAGGCTTTAGTTTGGTTCCACGTTCGTTTGCACCTGCCATCTATGCTTTTTTTGAACAAGACACTGCGCAGTCTCTCTTGAAGCAAATTTTGGTTGAAACTAGATGCATTCCACAGGCTTCAGTTTGAGGATTTGGTTCCATGTGTGTTACCCTTGCCATCCAGGGGTCTTAACAAGACACGGCGCCGTCCCTCTTTGGCCCCCGCGGCTGAACAGAACGGCCGAAAGAACGTCTCGGGCAAGGGAGGGGGCGGCAGGCGTGAGGTGCGGCACTTGCCGCGAGGCAAACCCTGCGCTCTTGAGACCCAGTTTATTTTGTCGTTGTTTGTTTGTTTGTGTGTTTTGGTTGTTTTTGTTTGTTTGTTATTTTTGTGTTTTTGCCTTTCTTTTGTGGGGTTTGTTTTTTTGTTCTTTGTTGGTGTCTTTTTGTTTACCTTCGGCTCGTCATAGAATTCCACTGGCACGCTACCAGGCTAGTGCCCTGAGATATGGCGCTGGTTTGGGGGCTGGAGACTTTTTGAGAAGTGTCAAGTGGCTCAAAGTCATGTGCCACAATGGCACCTTGCTGCCTGGCTAAATGGAAACCAAGACTAAATCCTGCATAACACTAGGTCTTCAATGTTGAGGCACACGGAAGTATCCCGGCCACTACCCTCAAGTTTTGCTTGGCAGCAGGGTAGCATGGGGTAGACTCCTTTGGTAGAGTCTTGGGAGGCCGAATAGGCGAACCCCACATCTCGAAAAACCAGGGGGCCACACCATTTTTCCAGTAAAGACTGGGGGGACCCCAAGTGTTTCCAATAGAAGCCCAGGGTCCGCCCCATTCTCCCATTCTCTCTTTTGGGCAACAAGTGAAACTAATTAGATGGTTTCCAGCACCCCCAAACCACTACCCCAGGGTCAATTGGGTTTATACCCTTGATATAATGTTGTTGCTTTGCATATCCCATTAAACCCCTAAGCTGTTTTTTGTGGCTGTAAATTCCATGAATTGTATGAGGCCTCCGTTTGGGGGTAGTGGACACCATCTTCGAGTGAGTTCTTTGTCGGGGGAAACGCTGATGTTACGAGTGCGTGGCTCCCCCCCGCAAAAAAGAGGAAGCTAATCAGGCCGAATAGCTCCGAAGAAAAAGCTTGTACTAGATCCTAAGAGCCACATTTGGAGAGTTGAAAACCAAGGGGAAGCACCCCTTTTTTCGCAAAGACCAGGGGGCCCCCCAATAAGGTTGGCGGAGAGATTACGCGTCAGTTTTGTGCCGGTTTCACTTTTTCGTACACTCACGCATATGCTGGGGTGTGCAGACAGCCCCCAGGTTTCCCCATGCGAAGCCAAGCGCTGAGGTGGCGAGGCTGTGGACTACCGCCTGGTGATCCCCACCCGCGGCCGCTGGCGCGCCGCCTGCAAGGCTCGGAAAGCCACTCACTGACGGACCTGGGGGGGGCGGGGCTGGACGAAGTCGCTCCGTTTTTGGGATTGTTCTCGGATTTGTTTGGGTGTTTTGTTGGTTTTTCAGCCAGGGAGAAAACAATCAGCTCGTTTTTTGTTTTTTTTTGCTGGGGTCCGAATTCCAGCCAAGAAACATGGCTGGTTCTTGGCTTTGCTAGTGCCATTGGCAGGGAAAAACCCAGTCCGGGTGTTGGGAATGAATGTAGGGATTCCCTCAAAGGAAGCTATAGGGGATGATGTATAGGGGTTCTTCCCTCATTCCCCGCTGAGAACCAGCAAGTTGGCGTTGAGATACCACCACAACCACCTTTGCCTTCCTAAGGGCTGTCATGGGGTCAATTCTTCCAGAAACGCCGCAGAGAGAGAGAGGCGGGCCCGCCTGCGAGCAGGACGATGTCTCAAATGGCAGGAGCTGCGCCGCCTCAGACGGCAACCACTGTGGCCGCTCTAAATCCAGCTGACATGGTCCCTCTCTCACAAAAGACGCACCTGGTCCCACGCTAGAGCCCAATGCGCTGCGCTGTCATCAGCCCCACGCTCGACCACGTCAGCTCACTCTTGCAGCAGAAATTCTTCTGTGCGGGACCAGCTCTCGGCGCCACCGAGAGCGCTCATTGACAACAAGTATGAGGTGCTCTGCCGCCTCGGGCAGACAATGGGGCTTAATGTATCCACCATTTGTAAAGCACCATGAAAACACCTGGAGGTCCATGTAACCTGTGGTTCAAACCCCCAGTATGTTGTTAGGGCAAGCCTACATTGTTTACCGTTCAGAATTGCCATTATCTCAATTGGGTCCTTCCCATTTTTGTTTTTATTGGGGGCAAGGAGTCGCCTTAGCCCCGACCTTTTGGAAACAACTGGCTTTCCATCAAACCCAAAAACGGTTAAACCTTATTCTCGGGAAGAGCAACCCAGTAAAGTGAATATGGGTGTGCCTCTTAGTACCCCTTCTGGTGAATTGGGGAACCGGAGGAAACCAACCAGTTTGGGGGGGAGGCATACACTCATCATAGACTGAAGTTTCCTTGAAGGTTCACCTTGCCTGCTGCACATTCACAATCGGTGGTAACCGAAACCCGCAACTGGGGCCTTTCACTTGTCCTTTGCACCTTCACCAGCCAAACACTTCACTCAGAACGAACAGCCACCCAGAGACAGTTGACGTTATTGGACTGTTTGCACAAGCAGCAACTTGTAGTTTTTTGATAACACACTTTGTTTTGTGTATCCTTTTATTGCGTTTCACCAGGAATTCGAACACTCTTCCACGAAGAGGACATAAAACCTTCGCTGCCTTTTGCAGGGGTTCCAAGATTCCTCTTGAAGTCTGACACTTTTTTGTCCCAGCGTGAGTTTCCTTTGGTAGGTGATGTATTGTGGGCCCTCGCTTGTTTTCGAGGTCCCTGATACACTCCAGGGGTACCTTCCCCATTCTTTCCAGGGAGCCTTTTTTCTAGAAAACCTCCGGAAACCTGGGGAAAACGTCTGTGTTTTGAAAAGAACGATGGTTGAAAAGAACCCTAGATACACGTGAGCTGCCGCTAGATCACCGCGGAGCGCGCCCTCAAGAAGGAGGACCGGCCGTTCATCTTGGCCGCCCGGCCGAAACCAACACCTAAGACCTGAGACCAGAGAGCTGGCGGCATGGGCGGGGCGCTGGTTTCTTGCTGTGGGTGGAGTTCGTTTCGACGCAAGGCAAAGACCGCCGCAAACTGGGGGCGATCCTGGGGTTCTTTGCCCCAAAGCAAATGTTGACCCAATTTAGATGATGAACGGTAAACAATTCCAATTAGACCATATCAGCACATCATCGAACATGTAACGGAACACATATTCCCTGGGGTTCAACCCCCATTAATAGAATGGTGAATTTGGATGATGACAGTCCTATAAACAAAGGTGATGAAATCCGAACCCAATTATAGTTTTACTGGTGATAGCCGTCCATCTCCCAGGGACAAGGCAAAAGCTGCCGCTTTTTTGGGGGCCATTTTGTGAGACGCCCCCCCTTGTTTTCTCACGTCTTTCACTTGCATCTCAGGCATGGCACAGCTCTTAATCCGTGCGTTCCCGGCAGAAATCCACGCTTTTCCACGACTTTTCCCTTGTTTTCTCATGTCTTTCACTTGCATCTCAGGCATGGCACAGCTCTTAATCCGTGCGTTCCCGGCAGAAATCCACGCTTTTCCACGACTTTTCCCTTGTCCAAAGATAGGGAAAGCCGCCGTTTCCTAGTTTTGGACATACCCAGATTGTATAGCGACTCTACGGAAACCTTTTGGCTTGGAGGTGGAAAGCGAAAGGCATCCCGAGGCGTTTCCATCTCAATGGAGCTTCAAGCTACCAGAAGAGGAAACCCACTTGAAAAGCCAACTATTGGTATCTGGCGGTCTCGTGGATGTTCAACCCATTATGCCATTGAAATGGACAACAGCAGTTTCGAGGTATCAAGCGTTTCAAAGGACACCAAAGGACACTTGCCATTTTTTGGGGGGGTTTAACTTGACTTTTCGTCACACTAGGAAACGAACAGAAAGCCAGCCATTTGTGCCGGGTTCGACCTGTTACTACTAAAGTAGCTGAAATGCAAACCATTTCGCACAGGTTCAGCCTTGTTGGCATTTGAAATGGCAAACACCAGGAAACTAGCCATTTGTGCGAGGTCCGACCTGTGATGCGCTTCCAAAATAATCGGACACCCAGAAAAATCCAGGCATTTGGGCGACATTTGACCCTCCAGGCACTTCACAGGAAGCCAGCCGATTGTGGAGCTCGGCATCTTATGGGTGTGTCTCAAAACAGGCGACCCCCAAAATGGCCTTGGTTTCCTATTTCCTGTAGTTTCCCGTTGAAACTCGCCCAACAAGGGGTCCCCGCGTTTGAAACACACAGAGACCTCAGCCTTTGGGGCCTATGAGAAGGCCTCGTTTCACGTCGATGGGCGCATGAGGTCAAGACCTTGGCCTTTCTAAAGCGGCAAAGGACTGGCGGTGTGCCTTCGGTTTGGGCGAAGAGTTGTCGCCGGGTTTGTTTTGGTTCGATGGGTGACTTTGGTTGAAGCAGTTCTTGTGTTTAAATCCGATGGGTTGGTTGGCTGGCTGGCTGGCTGGCTGGCTGGCTGGTTGGTTGGTTGGTTGGTGTGGGTGGGTGGGTAGGGTGGCTGGCTGGTTCGCTGGTCAGTTGGCTGGTTGGTCGTTTGTTTATTTGTTTGTTTGTTTGTTTGCGTATGTTTAGTAGGTTTGTGTTCTATTTGTTTGGTTGTTTGCTTGTTTGTTAGTTTATGTTGTTTGTGTGTTGTGACTTGTTGGTTGCTTGGTTGGTTGCTTGCTTGCTTGGTTGGTTGGTTGTTTGGTAGGTTGGTAGGTTGGTAGGTTGGCAGGTTGGTAGGTTGGTAGGTTGGTAGGTTGGTAGGTTGGTAGGTTGGTAGGTTGGTAGGTTGGTAGGTTGGTAGGTTGGTAGGTTGGTAGGTTGGTAGGTTGGTAGGTTGGTAGGTTGGTAGGTTGGTAGGTTGGTAGGTTGGTAGGTTGGTGGGTTGGTAGGTTGGTTGGTTGGTTGGTTGGTTGGTTGGTTGGTTGGTTGGTTGGTTGGTTGGTTGGTTGGTTGGTTGGTTGGTTGGCTTCTATAGTTGAGTTCGTGTTTTTTTGGGGGGTATGTTCTTGTTTGGTTGCCTTGTTTGTGTGTTTGTTTGCTTGCTTTGTTCGCTTGCTTGTTTGCTTGTTTGTTTGTTTGTTTGTTTGTTCATTTGTGTTTTGTTCTTGTGTTGTTTGTGTTTGTGTGCTTGCTTGTTTGGTTGCTTGAGTGATTAATTGATTTGATTTGATTTGATTTGATTTGACTTGATTGAGTGATTGGTTGATTGATTGATTGTTTGAATGAATGATTTGACTGATTGCTTGATTGATTGATTGATTGATTGCTTGCTTGATTGATTGATGTATTGCTTGATTGATTGATTGATTGATTGATTTATTGATTTATTGCTTGGTTGGTTGGATTGGATTGGATTGGATTGGATTGGTTTGATTGAGATGCTTGATTTGATTGTTTTGATTGATTTGATTCGTTGATTGATTGATTTATTGATTTGTTGATTTATTGTATCATAGATATTGATGTATTTATACATTGATTCATTGATTCATTGATTCATTGATTTGATTGGTTGTTTGTTTGATTGATTGATCGATTTGATTTGTTTTGATTTGATTTGTTTTGATTGATTGATTGATTGATTGATTGATTGATTGATTGATTGATTGATTGATTGATTGATTGATTGATTGATTGATTGATTGATTGGATTGATTGATTTATTTATTTATTTATTTATTTATTGATTTATTGCTTGGTTGGTTGGTTGGTTGGATTGGATTAGATTGGATTGGATTGGTTTGATTGATTGATTTGATTTGATTTGATTTGATTTGATTTGATTGATTGATTGATTGATTGATTGATTGATTGATTGATTGATTGAATGATTTGTTGTATCATAGATGTTTGCAGTCATTCCTGCATGGCACTGTGGGTCTGTTAACTGGGATCTGCGGTTAAAGTTATAGCATCAGCGGCATGATTAAGCTGTCACACGGATTGGGCGCATCCCAGGAATGATTGGTGAATGATAAACATGCCAGACCCCCAGGTTTTGGCCTACAGAGGGTCCAGCTGACTGGTTCAACTCCTAGCGAGGGGAAGGGGTGGTGGTGTAAAGAGAGTCCAACATCAATATGCGCGCGTTGTTCTTGAGGCACCCCAAAGCACCGCTTACTTCCTCAATTTTGCTCGCTGCGTAGTGGCTGTATCGACAAAGGGTCCATGTCTGTGGTTCGGGCAAAATTACTGATAGTCTGTAGTTCACGCACATTTGGGGACTCACGAAATTCCCGAATACGAAACAACTCACTAGGTTGCCCGTGTCCTATTGTGGAAGCAAGCAATTTTGACCGTGGCTCATGTGAGGTTGAAATATCCAGAAATTGGCACAGACTTGCTGGGATTTACTCAAATCCCCACAACATGGGGGACTTACTAGTTGTCCCAAATCCCATCGGTAACCATATATGTTCACCGTGGCGCATTCATGTGTTAACAGAAAAAGCACGCCAAAGGAAGCCACTGGGGAACGTTTGTCTTTTGATTCGGACCCGCTTGATTACTTCCCAGAGTGACGTAGAAACCCCACAAGACCAAGGGGGGGGCTCTCCAGAAGGAGGTTCCTCCAAGACATGGCTGTGGGTCAAAACCAATGTTACCATTTTGGGGTAGGTGCACCACCCATTCTAGTCCATTTCAGTGGGGATTGGGATGTTCACTGGGGGTACGGGGTTTTGACCCATAGCCACATGTCTTTTTTGTTTGGTTCTATGTTACTCTGCGGGTGGGTGGCAACTGGAGCTCAATGTCTCCCGAGGATTCCCTCTCATCGGGTCACGCTCTATGTGGCGGACGAGGACGAGCGGCAAAGGTACCAGGAGCCGAAAGATTGGGCGCTGGGATCGAAGCAAATTGCAGCGTTGCACCTTGCTGGAAACACGACCTAAGGCAAATATAAGGGGCTAAATGATCACTAATAGTTTACCCCTGCAAACATGACTAGATGTTTCTTCCTCCGTTTTTTTTGAAGCCTCTTGCCGCGTTCCTTTTTTCAGGCCCTCGGAGTTTAGCATTTGTGCACGTCCATTTTCTGGCATGCTCATGGCCTTGGAGCGTGGAGGCTCAGCCACACTTCAGAATTCACGGTGAATTTTCACCCGACGGGTGAGCTGTACCATGGGTTCGTGTGTAGATTCGCATATCCAGGTTGCCCGTCAGGCTGGTGGTTTGGATTGGTGGTTTGGATTGGTGGTTTGAACGGGTGCCTGGTTCTTGGAGCGGGTAAATGGGAAACCCCGGGAACACCTCCAAGCCCACCAATCCAAACCACCAAGTGGAGGGAAGCTGAGATAGTATACTGTGGATGGTTGCGAAATCCATTTCGCACCACACTTCAGAATCCCTGGAGTGATGATTCCTCTGCAAACACCAACAAACCATGGTTTCCCATGGTTCGAAAGTGGTGCAGGAAATCGTCCATCCACAGTATGAATGGTGTGTATCTTCGCATATATCTTATGTAATGTATAACGGATACATTTGGCCTTCGATGTTTGGCGCCACTGTCTGTGATGACGAGCTAATATTTCTCAAAGGGATAGCTTACTTGGGTAAAATACAAGTTTCCAACGTTCCGCAGTGCGTGGCACCCCTCCCATGTTTACCACATTTCCTCACGCAATTCCTCACGTTGCCAAGAGATTCTAGGGGGAGGGGGAAGGGGGGATTGCCGGGTGAAAAGGTCTAACGCGGGATACCTTGCGTAGAGCATTCGGCAGGTTTCACGCTTGGGAATATTTGTCATCCGAGTTTCTCGAAGCAAACAAGAAAGTTTAGACTTTATGGTTACCGGTCCACCCACCAAATCTATGTTGCATTGGACTACACATATGAAACAGAATCGGAACAGAATATTCTCCGTGCCGGACGGGTGGATTCCCACAGTAACGGGACACCCACATCATATTAAAGATTTGTTGGCGTCATTACTTTGAGAGCTTCTAGGGGTTATCGAATCCAGTTCTTTCAACTTGCTGGTGCTCTGCAGGGAGTGAGGGAATGAACCTGGGGATTCCCTTAAAGGCAACCATAGAGGATGGTTTATCTCGGGATCGTTCGACTTCTCATTCCCTTGCCTATCGCAGCAGCAAGTAAAGGGAACCTAGTGGTGCATGACCCTTCGCCCCAAGTAAAACGGCACCCTTCGGACTGAAGAGGCGCCAGAAGACATTCAAGCTCATTTTGGTTTGGGCCAGTTTACCCCCAGTTTGCCACCTATTATATTCCAAGCTGGGGTCATTATGTTGGCTGTTTTCGTGGGGACATTTCATCCAGTTGTTTCACTTCAGCCTGCCCCTTGGTCCCATGATTTCGCCTCTCGAGCCGTTTGGCGCAGGAGGCTCTGCAGCGGGACGAGTTCTGGGCAGACACTGCGCTGCAGGTGGGTGTGCCGCAGCCTCGAGTGACCCGGGTGACCCGAATGACGCGTGACGCGTGACGCGTTTCTTGTCGCTGCCGCCGGAGGTTTGTGGGGTTTGGTCCAGGGGTCCTTTTTTTGACCACCACAAGGTAGACTTAAACCCAGGGGTTTGCCTTTTAGGGAAATCAACCACCCCTGGGTTTAAGTCGACTTTGGGGTAGTCAGGTCAACCTCGCCTGATGTGTCTATGGTTCTTTTTTGGACATGGGTGACTCTCCACATTTTCCACAAACGCCAGACAAGTGTCGATTTTGCCCAGGTTCATTGAGGCCAATGGCAAGTGTCCTCCATGTCATAGCTGAGAAGTTTTTTTTTTTTTTTTTTTATATATATATATATATATATATATATATTATTATTGTGATTATTGTGATTATTATTATTATTATTATTATTATTATTATTATTATTATTATTATTATTATTATTATTATTATTATTATTATTCTTATTGGTTTGCATTGGTTTTTATTGTTTTTTTTTATTGGTTTTATTGTTATTGGTCGAGTGGAGGCTTGGAGTTCCTTTCACATGTTCTGCAAATCCCAGGGCGGGAAACAACCTTTCCCATGTCTGGGGGAACAAAGAATCTGCATGGGTCATATTCCTGAAAATGCGGTGCCCCCAGCTGTTGCGGGGTAAACGACTTTCGAGGGAAGCCTTCCAGGAGACGACCTGGAAATTCGCTGAAATGGGCGTGTCTCTACTTTAGGTGGTTCCCAAACATGGCGGTGTCTTTTTTGCAGCTTCCCTTGCAGCCAACCCCCAAAAAAGGGGTACCACCCAAAACAGGCAAAGCCAAATATGTTCCTTTTTCTTTTCAGGGGAAGCCCCTAATTACGAGGGTGCCGCTTTACTGGAGTCCAATGCAAGCAGCTCCTTTAGGGAACTCACTCCCCAAGTTCACGGACTTCAAACTTTTGGGTTTGGACGATTTTAGTGGCAAAACAAAGAGTTGGGACCTTTTTTGGGGCCAGTCGAATCAGGCAGTGAAGGAATTTGGGTGTAGCATTTTGCCCAGCGGCGATTTCCCGGCATCCCAGGCCGGGAATTCTGGCACAGCGGAACCACATCGTCAAGTCCATGGATGAAGGCAAGCGTTCCTTTCGCTGAAGCCTTCAGCAAGGAGTACCCTCCCATAAACCGCAGAACGTGGGTGTGGTTGTGAAAAATTAGGGTAGCCCCAAAATGGCCTGGTAGGACACAAAGTCGCCTGGGGTTCCTTGCCCCCATTGAAAGAATGGCTGACCCAAATCGGATGGTGACAATCCTTAGGTAAACCTTAGGGGTGGTCTTATGAGCCCCCCTTGTTTTGATGGTGGCTACTGAAGCCCCGGGAGTACCCTGCCAAAAACCGCAAAACGTGGGTGTGGTGGTCAAAAATAGATGCGGTCCCCTAATGGTTCATTTTTGACCCATACCCATAATATGGAACCTGCACAGGAGCTGGTGCCCTTGAAAGGAGAATGGACACACCTAGGAACCGGTGTAGGTTCTATCTATGGGTACGATGTTATCCAGCGGAAGTTTGGTTTCAGGGTTCTCGCTGTTTGATCACTTGTGCGGATTTAAAGTGGGGAACCCTGCTTCCTCCAATGCAAAACAAATGACCACAGTCTACAAACAGACTGAAACCAGTGAAATCCGTGTATGTTTAACCAACATCACCTAGCAAGAACAGCTACAAGAACGGTTTTGCGAAGGCAAGTCGACCTTGCGAGCTTTGTAAGCACAAAACAGGGCTCCCTCTTCTTTGGATGACCCTGCTTTTCTCAAAACACCAATTTTATGTTGCCCCTCTGAATTTGCCTCCAACGAAGGTCTCAATGAACATGTGCTTGACTTGCTCTAAACTCACCCAAAAAGGATGAAAACGGGGTTGATTTATTATCATGGAAGTGGACAGGAGTGTTGTGGTAGACTGTCCGCAAACGAGTTCTTGTTTTTTTTTTTTTTTCTTCAAAAGCAAACCTGTGATTCTGCGTAGTGTTTGTACTGTTGTTTTTTGCTTCGCAGGCACCTACGTTGTCAGCTTCGACGACGACGTGTCCGAGATCTGCTGGTACACGCCCGGCAGCTCCGGCACGTTTAAACCTATCCGAAAATTTCAGGTTTCCCTCACTCACTTGCTGAGCTCCTGGACTTTAAACTGGGTTTGAACCAATTTAGTGGCAAACAAACAGTTTGGACTTTTTGTTGGGCTATTCGAATCAGGATTTGAGGAGCTTAAGTGGTGTTAGGGCACCGGTTCCTGTGCAGGTTCCATATGGGTATGCGTCAAAATTAAACCACCAAGGGAACCGCAGAATTCTAGTCCATGGAACCCCACTTTCCCGGGGTTCCATTTGGGGTATGCATTTTTGACCACCCAATTGGTGGTTTGGATGGGTGGTTTGGATTTGGATTTGAATCCCTGGTTTATATAGAGTCAAATGGCAACCCACCCCCAAACCTCCAAACCAATCCAAAACACCAAGAGAGCTGGGAAGGGGGTCGATCGCGGGACTCGCGTACCAGGGAGCCAGGACTTTTCAGTCTCTTCAGCTGGTTGCAAAACGCCCTTCGAGTAATCCGATAGACGTGCTGGACTTATACTTACCTCCTATAAACACAACTTTTCAACTTTTTGGGGGTAACATGGGCTATTTCTGTAAAAGATTAACTTCCCCAGGGCTTGGAGTTTTAAGGGGTAAGTGTACTTTCTTGCGAAGACTATATCAAAGTAAGACAACAAGTTCGTCTTTCCTGGGGCCAATCCATGCAGGAAGTGCGGCATATCCTTTTAGCCCGTTTTAGGCCAATCCATGCAGGAAGTCAGGCATACCTTGTTGATGAGGTTCCAAATGAAGCGAACAACTTAGTTTCACCATCGCAGCTGAACAAACACTTCCTTTGGCGCAGGCTCAGCGGCTTTGCATCTTGAATGCACCATGATGCACCTGATTGTCCCAGTGTTCCCTATGTTCCCCTTTTCGTGGTGTTGAGCATCACCCTTTTGGCATTTCCAAAGTGAGTTTCCTTTTCGCGGGGTGATGTTTACAGGGGTAAATGGGGAACCGTGAATGTTCATTGCATGCTGAGTTTCCCTAATGCCCTTCTCCTTTTAGCTGGTTTCTCAGTAAGAATGGGCACCAAGAAATGCCGACGGTTTATGTCATGCAGTACCTTGTAGGCAAAGGCGGCAAAAGAGCATCTAGGCATACTATCTGCACTATCCAATGTTTCTTTGCAAGGGACTGTCGTCATTGTCGAGCTCGCTTTACCCCTGGAAGAGAACGTGATTAGTGCAGAATGCGTTCCATGGCTTCCCTGCACTCAACAGTCCGGAACCACGGGCAACAAGACAGTCATTTTTAGGCTTACCCAGGAACTTACCCAGGATCTCAAGGCGATTGAGAAATTGGTGTGTCTTTTGTTTGGGAACCCTCAAAAGGGTCGTTTTCCTTTTCGCTTCCCTTTAAAGCCGCCCCAAAAAGGGTACCCCTCAAAAAAAGACGCACCCACTCTCTGAAGCCAGGCTGAGTGCAACTTAGTGCCCAGTGTGGAAATGCCTATTATTTTCTCAGATTGATTTGTTGAGTGCTTTTAGGCCAAATTTTCGTCATGATTATAGGAGCAAGCTATTTGCAAAAGTTTAGCCCCGATTATATTAGCTCAACAGCCACCGGTCTAGGGGTACCTTCCCCATTCTTTCCGGGGATCCTTCTTTTCAAAAAACCATCAAAAGCCCAGGAGAAACAGATCCGGTTTTTGAAAGGAATGGCTGGAATCAATTTCTAGGATCGGGGTGCCCTTCGATGCCGTGGGATTGTTGGCTAAGGACACCTTTGCCTGACGGCACCTTGGAGTCGCCCCTTGGCCAAAGTCAAAGGAGTTGGGTTTCTGAATCAGCGGTGCTTTCCCCGCGCCTGGTTTAGTTGTCTAGTGTAATTTTAAGGGTGACAGACTATGGTGAGGAATACGGGGCCAAAGAGACAAGGGGCCACATCTGGTTCAGTTGTCTGGTTCAGTTGTCTGGTTCAGTTGTTTGGTTCAGTTGTCTGGTTCAGTTCTCTATTGACTATGGTTTGGATACTGGTTGACTATGGCCAAAGAGACAAAGGTCAGTGATAGGTCTGCGCTGGAAAGACCTGCTGAAAACGTGTAATTGAAAAGTCGGCGTGGAAGGAATAGATGTCTGGCAGAAAGCCGGGAACAATCAACGTTGCGTGAACAGCCAAACGGGCGGGCACACTTCCTGAGTGTCAGTGGGGCCATGGCGCAATGGCAGCACGCCTGCAATGTGGCTGGGGAGGTTCTAGGCTTAAGTCCGACTTTCGCACAACAGGCCCAACAGCCAACGCCTTTGACTGCTGGACATATGTCCTTCTTTCCAGGGGACGTATCCGCCGGCACATGAAGGTTTTTTTGCTGGATTGGGTCAAATAGTGCATGTCTTTTGACGAAAACCCTTAGGTAATTTAATTAGTTCATGTCTTGTGCCCGCAAAAACTTAAACAGAAAGTACAAATTGTGGCTCGAAAAGGAAGCATCATTAGTGTAGATGCGGCTGCTGCAGGCATTCTACTAAAAGGTGAGCGAGACAAGCTGGTGTGAGGCCATTCCGAACCAGCAAGAAAAAGGTGAAACGGCCTTTTTAATCGACCAATGAAGTGAACAAAACAAACATCACTGCCCAGAATGTAGCTTAGATATGGCGAAGTTTGACAAGTGCGAACACTGTTACTTTGCTGCACCCAGTCATACACCCCGTGAGCGATTGGGCGGTTCTGGAGGTTGGCAAAGAAACGATGTGAGGTTTGAGGCTGCCGCAAAAAATAACGTGCAGAGTTTGAACCCGAATGATTGTTTTTCCGATGTGGGTGTGTTTTTGTTTTGAGGGTACCCCCGTTTTCGTGGCTTCAAGGGAAAGCAAGAGGAAAGCCACTTATCTTTTGGGGACCTCCTAAAACAAGACACACCCGTGTGGTTGTGAATTTAAGAGATAGAACCTCACAAGTGGTGGACATGAGTCCCCGCCTAAATGATGTGCACCAAAGGGCCCCTTATTAAAGCTCATCATACCCACGCTAGCCACGTTGAACACCTCCGTGTACTAAGAGTTATGTCATATCGACCTGTGCACAACGCAAAAAAAACCACGCGCGCGGCGTAAGCAGGTGGTGTAAGCAACACCTCCATAATATGTGTCGCGCAAGTCCACACATGCATTGTGTAAGGTACGGGTAAGCGGGGGCGTAAGCAACATGATACGACATAGCAAATCATGACATGTGTATGACATAGCGCATGACTATATATATATATATATATGTGGTTCTTTGCTTTTTCTTTTTTGAAGACAACACACAGTAATTAGCTCATGTGTTGTTTCACAGAAACTGGAAGGCACTGGGCGCTGAGCCAGGTTGATCTTCCATGCGCACGGCGCGGCACCCAAGGGATTTACATGGCTATGCGATGTTTAATGGGGACAACCCTGAAAAGTTGCAAATGGAA